GACGCGATCTGGAGTTTATGAAACTTATATATGTTTTCTTTAAGAATATTAACCTTAGATTGTAAGTTTGACTAACCTTGTGTTTAGTTTTTGTTTTGTTCATGTGGTTTTTTTATGTTTGTTTCTGTAATAATGGTATAATTACACTGTGCATACCAAATTGAATAGAAATAAGTTCATGTTTTAGGAATAATGAAATATTTGTATCGTAGTAAATCATAACTCAAAACTACTCCTCCCTCTCCCCATCCATAAAACTGTAAATCTTTACTAACTTTGAGACGACCGCGAGTAATCGGTTCAGTTCCTTTAACTCTAGATTTAAGACATCAATTATGTATAACGCAAAAGATAACTTGGCGCTGTAAAGTTTATTCAATTGAGCCTGTACAAATAAATTCATTAATAAAAAAACGACAGTTGCTCGTTCCTTTGCCTCTCCGAAATCCAAATTGCGTATCTGAAAGTAAACCATTCGACTCGACCCATTTGTCTAGACGAAAAAGAATCATTTTCTCCAACAATTTCCGTATACAGGATAGCATCGCGATGGAACGGTACGAGTTATAATACGACGCGGGTTTACCGGGTTTTCGAATGGCGATAACTCTTACCTGCCTCCAGTCATCTGGAACAATGTTGTGCTCCAGAAATTGATTGAATAAGTTCAACAAGCGTCTCCTCGCGACGTCTGGGAGAATTTTGAGCAATTTTAACTTGATGCTATCCATTCCTGAAGCTGAGCTGTTACATGAGAGGAGAGCAAGTGAGAATTCCACCATCGAAAACGGGGAATCTATTTCGTTACTACTCGACGAACGATCACGAACGTTGGTTTGAACCGACACCGAATCTGAGTACTCCTTGTCTTCGTTAACCGGTGATGAAATTATTTGAGTTAGCGAACATTAAAAAAAAATCAAATAGGAATATATTTTTTCAGTTAATCAAACGGGACTCAAACGGGTTGGATAATTACCACGAGTGCTGAAAAAATCAAATTCTGCAACGAGCCGCATGCAACAGTTTTTGGCACTCAGTTCTTAATATGTGTCACTTTACGACACTGACATAATGGCCTACTTTTCCTAACTAAGATATCAGTGTCGAAAAGTACTACTTTTTATCCAAATAGTTCTACTTTTCGACACTTTTTTGAGTGCAAAATAACTAAAGTAATGACCATGCTTGGCATACGTAGTTTTGGCCACGAACTGCTCATTTGCTAATAATGTTGCACACAGCGATCGATAGAATAGAGTTTAAGCTTGTTATAGATAGTTAAAAAAAAGTAGATTTTAAATCTAATAATAGTGTGTGTGTGGTTTTTTTTTAATGTTTGTTTTGTAATAATAGTAGAAATACACTGCTGATATCAAGTTGAATAGGAATAAGTTCATGTTTTAGGAATAATGAAATATTTGTATCGTAAATATTTCAAACCTCCTTCTCCCTCTCCCCATCCATGAACCTGTAAATCTTCACTAACCTCGAGACGACCGCGAGTATTCGGTTCAATTCCTTTAACTCTAGATTTTAACTTTAGATTTAAGACATTAATAATGTAAACGCAAAAGATAATTTGCTCTGTAAAGTTTATTCGATTGAGCCTGTTCAAATAAATAAGTTTACAAAAAAAATCTAATAATAAACTGTATTTGTTTTTGCCTTACAAAAATTAAGTGAGAAAAGCTCGCTGCACTTCTCGGACTTAATTCATTGGTATTAATTCAAATGTTAAGATTTACCTACTCTTTTCATATCTATACTAAACTATGATCCTAATCTATCAATTACTTCAAAGAAAAACAAAGTTCAACAACTGAGTGAACAGTTATTAACAAATGAGCAGTTGGTGTGTAAAACTGTGCATGCCAAGCATGTAAATGACTCTATTTTGTCAACCCCCTTTTTGAAAATGATTTTGATGTTCTACGAAAGAAATGCGCTTTTTCAGCGCTCATATTACTCCAAAGTATGCCTTAACCATACATCTTGAAGATGAATGAGAAGGATTTGGAATTACGGTTTTGTGGAGTTATTAAAAGATAAAAGTCAGATGCGTATGGGACAAATCGGGTCATTACTGTATTTATGCAACAAGCAGGCATGGAAAATCATTTGCATTCATTTCGTGCATTCATTTACATTCATTTGCCCCTAACTTTTTTCATCAACAGAATTCCTCAAAATGGTGTATCGAACTTTTGTAGGTTTTGCTATTACCTACAGCTTTTGTTAACAATTCAAATCCGTATCTCTTATGCATGACGAACCAGTGCGAACAGAAGCCCTCATTCGTGATGCATAAGAGATACAGATTTGAATTATGGGCAAAAGTTGTAGCTAATAACAAAACCTATTAAAGCTCCAAACAACATTTTGCGGAATGCTGTTGATGAAAAAAGTTAGAGGCAAATGAATGCAAATGAATGCATGAAATGAATGTAAATGATTTTCCATGCCTGGCAACAAGTTACAATGTGAAGATTTGTTCAGCACAAGTCGGTGCTGAAAAAAAAGGAGTGAGCTAAAATGGTCGAATTCCAGCACAAACTTGGTTCATTACCACTAGCGAACAAGTATGCGAAGCTTCATGGAATACTGAAATGTAAAATATAACATTTAATGACTTATTCACTATTTGGCTTAAAGCAGCTTTTTTTTTTCCTTTGGTTTGTTTTTTTCCGTCGATCTTGTTTTCCGTGCTGAGCACCAATGCTACCGACGTGCCAGGAAGGCAGCTCCCACACTTGGACCCTACCTATCGACCCATCAACTCATGAACCGGGGACCAACGGCTTTACTTCCCATCCGAAGGAAGGCGTGATCAGAGATGTTATGCCTCAGAACATCCCGGCGGCGCCTACTGGGATTGAACCCAGGCCTGCTGGGGTGAGAGGTAATCACGCTTACCACTACACCACCGGCGCCGTTGGCTTAAAGCAGCTCTAATTTAAACAAAAAATCGAATTAATGTAAATTGATAGTGGAATATGTACCAGAAACCAGAAAATATGTACAACATGTTATTTTTTTTTTCATGATTTGGACAACTAGAACCAAAGCTAGAGCGATGTAAGTAAAATTTAATATTTTCCCATAGTATTTCTCCAAAATATATATGTAAACTTCAAACCATTTTCACGATTTCAAAACCCTCATCAATCTTTACCATCTTTTGCACAGACTTATATTTTGTGGTTATGATTCAAACTGAAGGGTGAGTCACAGAAGCTTAAAGATTAATAAGTATGTTTCAAAGTTTTAAGAAAGTTTTTCTTAAAGGTCCAAATAAAATTGAAGCGTCTTGGAATCCATATTCATTGCTTGTCTAAAAAGTTTGGATTCAGAATGCATCAGAACTGCCGATTTTTTGAAATGCTTTTTGAATACCCTCGACGAACAAAACAAATCAAACATTTGATGTTTGATTCATAACAAAAATGAAAAAATCTTGTTTTATCAAATATTTGCCAAGCCGTATGTAATTCACACTTCAAAGCATTAAATGTCTAAAAATAATTATTCGGTGCGCAATTCGCCACAAAGAATTGGTCAAGAAAAGCTGTGATAGCCAGAAAAGCTGCAACAATTGAACAACAAAGACGCAATCTACAAAAAAATAAGATGTCTCAGGCTCATTAGCTTTTCACGCGTTACGCACATCGCTACGTCACATCCATCCGTAAGGTGGAGAGCTCACAAGTCATGAACAATTGAGACGCATCATAGGCAAGAAAATTCCTGTTTTTGCCTCTTCTTCCGCCGTGTACATGTGGCCAATTTATTCAATTATACAATTATCTTCCCGCGTACTTTATAGCGCTTCTATGTTTACAAAATAGAAGATCTATGCGTTCGATTTGACGTCATCCAGAGCGTAATTTCATAGTTATCTTTCGAAAACACTAGAATAATGGATAAATCGTCAAAACTAACCTTCAAACTAACCCACAATTATAATTCATCAACAACGAAGCCTGCAATGCTCCACTATTAATTCATTAGAATCCATCAGATGCTGGGAATTTCCGAAAGCTAGTTTCAAACTTCGGAGGGGTCATACACGTGCATCATCCGAAAATAACACGAACCCGTCTGTCCGTTCCACTTATCCGCTTAATGGTAATCCTGCTGCGGAGAAAGAAGTCTGGCAGCTTTTCAAAATTTGGCAATGACTTGAACTTGGTGTACCTCTCTAGCGTACAAACACATAAGGGCTTATCTGAAATCTTCATTTGTTAATAACTCGGCAGGATTAACGTTTCTCGGTGCGTTCACTTAACAAATTGAAAGAGAATCGATGATGAGAATTGATTATCGCAGTTAGGCCCTTATGGTTTTGAACGCTAGATCTATGTACCTACCCTGCCATTCCTGCAACAGACAATGTTCTGTTTCGTAGCTAGACACTCGATTTTGGCAATACACACCCACCGCCGAAATCTGCACCCATGCTCACTCCATCCCTCTCGACGGCGGCCCAGGTTTCGCAAGAGCCGCTGCGGCTGTCAAATTAAAAATCATGATTTGAAATGCTGCCCACTCCTGTGTGCCGGGGATGCGGCGGGTGGTGGTGGTGGCGGTCAGCCGGCTGATCGACTTTATTTACGGTTCACCCTTGTCTATGAACGGAATGGGAATCAACGATGATGGATTGTTGGAAATTTCCGTATGCTTCATACACTGTAGTGGGAATAGATCCCGCAGAAAAATGTCTTCTTCCTCTCGCGAATATTTTTTTTTTGTGATAGACAACCCGATGGGATGGGAGATGTGGGAGATAGAGAAAACAAATTTTGAGAAAGAAGATCCCACGGGATCGAGGAAAGAAGAAATTCGGCACTATATATAGCTCAGGTGGGATCCGCGATTAGTATAGTTCAACTCTGCACTGCGTGAAGCATCAAGGTAAGTCCAGGATCACACTAGACTTCGGAGACTTCTTGAAAGCACCTTCGAACTATCATCTAACCGTTTCTTATTATCGTTACAGCTCAAATCAAATAATCGAAAATGAAATTCTTCATCGTTGCTCTGGCTCTGATCGCCTTGGCTGCTGCCAAACCCCAAGACGACCAGTACACCACCAAGTACGATAGCGTCGATATCGATGAGATCCTCAAGTCGGACCGTCTGTTCAAGAACTACTACAACTGCTTGATGGATATGGGAGCCTGTACCCCAGAGGGCAATGAGCTGAAGCGTGTCCTGCCCGATGCCCTGGAAAACGATTGCTCCAAGTGCAGCGAGAAGCAGAATGAGTCCAGCACCAAGACCATCAAGTTCCTGACCGAGAACCACCCTGAGGAATGGAAGGCCCTGAAGGCCAAGTACGACCCCGATAACAAGTACGTCGAGAAGAACGTGGCTAAGGCCGAGAAGGATGGAATCAAGCTGTAAATTTACCCTTGACACCCCCCCAAAGCAAATCAATCAACCGCCATGATCTTGAGGAAAATTCTTCTGTGTTTCAAATGAATTATCATGCCACCGCCCAGAGATAGTTTTGCAGACTCCGCCGTGCAGAGTAACCATTGGTGACAATAAACGGTTTCTGTAACTCACTTGTCGAGTGTTGTTTGTTGCCAATAATATCACATTCAAGTTGGAGTTGAAGTGAAGAACAGTTGCATCGAATAATAGAATGTCATTACTGGCAACACTGCCGTTGAAAAAAAATTCTAAACCAGGCAGTCTTGGGGCCTTCCTGAGTCCAGTCAATAAGGGCGCAGCTATGAAGCAAGATCATGCTGCTGGAGGTGGCTGGGTTCGATTCCCGGTTCGGTCTAGGATATTTTCGGGTTGGAAAATTTCTTGACTTCCCTGGGCATAGAGCGTAGTGTGATTGAACTTGCCACCTAATAATACTAATGCAAAAATGGTTCAGGTTTAGAAAGCTCTCAATTAACAACTGTGGAAGTACTCAAAGAACACTACGTTGAGAACCGTTATAAAGTCCCAGTGGAGAAGTAATAAAGCCAAAAAAAAAGTAAGTTTGTTAGATTTGTCTATTATAAAGGCTTTCAGTCTTCCACAAGCAGATGCAGAAAAAGACAGTCAAATGTTCATACCCGGAACTTTTAACTAATAAGTATTCTTTCAAAAGAAGAAGATTGGAATGACTCACTTACTTTGCTTACAAGGGACACATCACACTCTGAATTTATGGTCGTGATCGGAAATTTTTTACCGTTATCGATAAAATTTTGACCTTCATTTTAAAGCCTATTTTGCTCAAACATAATGTCCAAACACGTTCAACCTTCTTCAAATGATCAGATCTTGTAATTGTAGGGGAGATTTCGTTTTAAAATAGCTTAAAAACAATTGAATTGTCCCAATTTTACCGAACAGCTGTTGAGATTTCGGAGAAAATTACCGAAGTCGGCGATAATTTCTAAGTGTGATAAGGTAGATTTCAATGAAAATAACAAGTACTGGATTTAGTGTCTTTGGAATATAATGGTATCTGTATCATGCTCTTTTTTGCACAATATGGGTTTCTATTTTTTAAGAAATATTTTAAAATTACTATTTTTTAGACACAAATACATGCTCAAATGGGTCTTAGACTATGATTCCGAACTTGACTGCTTCCTCTCGGAACATTTCGGCAAAGTTGTTGTCCGGATCGTACTTGCTTCGCAGGATCTTCCATTCCTCGGGATGCCTTTCAATCAGAAACTTGACCACCTTGGTCGTGACTTCACGCTGTTTCTCGGTACACTTACTGCATGCGGTGGCCACGGCATCCGGCACATACTTCTTCAGCACGGTTCCCTCCGGACTGCATGGCCCGGTTTCCAAAAGGCAGTTGAGGTAGTTTTTAAAAAGACGATCGGTCTGCAGGATCTCATCAATGTCGATGTTGTCGTACCTGCTGGGATAGCTTTCCTGAGCGATGGCCAGAGCTATCAAGACAAAAAAGATGACGATCTTCATGGTTGGTTTGTTTGGTTTGAGTTCTACTGGAAGTCCTGAACTGAACTATTTCGAATCCTTAGAACCATTCAATATTTATAGTAGTACATATCTGAATGAAATAGTCGAAATTAAATGTTTATACATCATCATCAATGTGTTCTGTACTGACAGATAAACAATTTTTCACCGGATAGAAGTAGTAGTGAAGTACACAAACAAAAAATGCAAGCTATGTATCAAAGCAATGAATTCTCATGCAGCAACGATAATTGCCCAATGCAAGCTCGATGCATTCAAAATCAATTAACGGCAATGATTGGTTCCTACAGCACTCAGTGATTCGCAACCGAATTAGCATAGTTGCAAATTAATTGCATTGTCTATTAAGTTCCGAAAACCATGACTTCAGTATTTTTCGGGAATCTCATCGTGCCAATTATTTTGGCAAAATAGACGCAACGCTTCGATATAAATACAGAATAGCTTCTAGCATTCAACACAGTTCAGTTCAGGACTTCTATAGAAACCCTCAGCATCAAACAAACTAACCATGAAGATCGTCATCTTTTTCGTCTTGGTAGCTCTGGCCATCGCCCAGGAAACCTATCCCAGCAGGTACGACAACATCGACATTGATGAGATCCTGCAGACCGATCGTCTTTTTAAAAACTACCTGAACTGCCTTTTGGAAACCGGGCCATGCAGTCCGGAGGGAACCGTGCTGAAGAAGTATGTGCCGGATGCCGTCGCCACTGCATGCAGTAAGTGTACCGAGAAACAGCGTGAAGTCACGACCAAGGTGGTCAAGTTTCTGATTGAAAGGCATCCCGAGGAATGGAAGATCCTGCGAAGCAAGTACGATCCGGACAACAACTTTGCCGAAATGTTCCGAGAGGAAGCAGTCAAGTTCGGCATCACGATCTAAAATTTTGAATGAACACGGTTTATCGATGTAAATTTATCGATAGTAAATAAAGCAAATTTGTTGTGTTATATAAATTACCAAAGCTGCATGAAGAATCTAGAAGATGATTACATCCCATCCTATCACTAATGAGTTCATAATTATGGATATCTATATAACTTGTAACACCTTCCACAGTACTCATCACTGACAGCAATAATATATACCGGTAATGACCGGCAGCCTCTTGTGATTTCGTTCGTTTCCTCCATCTGACATTGCAGTTCAGCAATTTCCACTCACTGCAGCCGCGTAGCGCTTTATGGCGACCACTGGGAGCTGAATTTAGCCCAATTATTATTTCACTGCGTGAAGAAGCGATAATTGCTTCCGTACAGACAAAAATTTGATCGTGACCGAAAACCAAACACTTTTCATGCCAACCAAAAAGAACCCGAAAGCGCACCAGTATCGTTGCTTACAGTACAAAAACCTGGCTCCCAATCACCACCAATCCATTGCGTTACAGTATTTGATTTTTAACCTGCAAACAGTAAGTCACACGTTACTTCATGATCACCACCCAACTATCAATTTTAGCTGCAGATAAGCTAGCCATATGCAGCTAATTTTTGCCTGTATAAGCTGGTCTGCAGCTAAAATTGTTTGTTGGGCTCTATGGTCGGTCAACATTACAACCCCCTGTCAACATTACAGCCCCCCAAATGTGCGAAATTAGTGGAAGAATTTTAATGTTTGTATGGGAAATGGAATAATCCTATTAGTTTGCTTACCAAAAATCAAAATACTGTTCAAAATTCACCAAATCCTGGACATAGATTGAGAATACTATACAAAACAACTTGGTCCAAGACTGCAAATCGATTTGATCTTTGTACAAAAAGTTACTAATCTTTCACTTTAGACCAACTGTTCCACACGTACCTACAAGCTCTTATATACGCCTGTTGGTATGCGCTGAGCATTAGGTCTAAATTAATAACATTTTTTTCTCAGAAGTCTAATCGACTTGTAGTCTTTGACAAATTTGTTTTGCATAGTATTTCCAATCTATTTCCAAGATTTAGTGAAATTTTAGCAATATTTAAATTTTTGGCAAACAAAAAAAACCATTCAAAATTTAAAATTCTTTCTTAAATTCAGATCATAACCAAATTTGCTCAAATTTGACACCATTGTTGGGGACCTCAATACGCATCAAAAGATCACTGGGGAGCATAGGGTTGTGATTCACCATATAAACTTAACCCACCCTGACGAGAGACATGCTTCTCAGCAACCACTGAACAAAATGGGACGCAGCCACCACCAAACGAAAGGTTCCATGGTCGAATAGAACGCTATTGAATATTTTTGGAATGGGTCAACTAGTTCCAGAGTAATGACCGGAACATATTACGCTGAACACGGGCCTTAAGACTAGAAATGAACTGAAATGGGCCCAGCACAGCATGCGGTATCTTAAATCAGATGAGCATTCGTAAACAAGATCAACGATAGCCATATTGAGTGCCCAGGACCCCGTTGGCTACGTCCAGACATGTTCCGGGTACCCCCGGAGAACTGACCAGTTTGTGACTTGGACCAAAACCCATCATGCGACACCTTAAATCACATGAGAATTCAAAGCCTAGTTCAATGCTGGTAATATTAAGTGCCCATGACCACATTGGTAACATCTGGGTATGTTCCACGTATTCCTTAGGAAATGGCTAAGATCAAAACCCATCATGCGGCACCTCAAAACACATGAGAACTCATCACCAAGTTCAATGTTAGTCATATCGAAAGCCAGTACCACATTTGCCACATTCTGATATGTTCCAGTTACTCCCGGAACAGTGACCTGTTTCTGAATAGGTCCAAAAACTATACCGATACCTTAATTCACATTAGAATTCAAAACCTAGTTTAATGGAAGTTACAGTATGCAAAAAAAGTTTATCCACCCCCTACCAATTTACATTTTTTTTTCTGGTGAAAATCAGTTCAATTTTATGAGTTGTAACAAGTACGCTTTTCCATTTAATTATTTATTAATTATTTATTTGCACAGAATTCCTATTATATAATTTTCACATTTAAGTATATTGCATGAACGTTCGTTTTTTACAATTAAGTTCCTAAATGTATTCACCGCCAAGGAACGTACGTCCATATATATATACAGTTACACTTGTCATACAAAAACCAACAAGTTCCCGATACGTACAGCTAATTCACTCCATTTGACCCGAATACGCTACCTGTTCGTTAAAGTCCGGGGTTCGAATCCGAACCGTTCTCTCTTATAAAAGAATAACCGAAAATAGATTGGAGCAAGATAGTATACTGAAATTGCATGACAAGGAAAGAGATGTAGCATTGAATGTTCTTGAGAGAAAGATGATGGAAATTGTCGTTTGAAAGGTCGTTGAATTACTTCGGTAATTTGACGTACTTCCGGCCACGATGACCGTTGAAATCACGCCTATCTGAGGGTATCTGGAACTTCTGTTCGTTCACTTTGACTTGAACCGTGGAAGAGGCGGGAGTGCGAGTAGTTAGTACTTAAGTGTACTTAGTGTCGCGGTGTGTTTTTCGTGGTATGTGAAGTTCAAAATGTGAGGAGTCTAAAAGACCGATTTTAATGTTACATCTTTGTTCCTTTCCGTTAGCCTGTAGAGTGCAAACTATATGTAAAAAGTTCCGTGCGGTCCATTTATTGTGTGTGCAAAGTTTATAGAAAGGTAAGGTGAATAGTGTCTTTTGTGTGGAGATGTAACTGAAATGTGTCGAACAACCGTTCGACGGCTTTTTGTTTAGGATCGTTTTGTGTAGGATCGTTTGTGCGGATTGGAGTTTGCACCGATTCGCTTCTAGCGATAGATGGCTTTGCTCGGCACACCGCAATCGAGGAAATAAATCGCGCTCTCTAGACCCCACGCTTCAACTTCAAGGTTCCCGGTTCGGGAGAGAATTCGGAAGGGAGACACCGTTTAACTGTTCTCCGGCAGAGCGTTGGCCAAATCCGCCAATGTCAACCACGTGAACCTACGTACATTATTCGTCTTCGACGATCCCCTCGTTGGCATTTGCGCCACCGGCAGTCGGCGCTGGTTCAGTACCAATTCGAGGGTTCGATTGGGAATTTCCGCACCATATCAGTCCGGGGTGCAATGTGCAACACCACCACCATTTGAATAGGCTGCTACTTTGCCGACCTCCCTTCGACAAAGGGATGCTTCTGTGCCGACACGGATGAAGCAGCGACGACAACGACGACCGTGAGTAAAAAACGCATGCGAATCTCCACACATACAAACACATGAGCTCGAAGAAAATTAGTAAGTTAGGCTAGCAATCGCTAGAAACAGATCAGGATACCGCACACACGTTTAGGGAGAGCTAGCAAACAAACGAACAAAAATGGGAAAGGAACAAGAGTCATGAATAAACTTAGGTTAGGAACACGAATAAATCCTAAATGATTTCCGGTATTTAGCCATGAAATAAATGTTATTTTCGTAAAATAAAAGCTTTCCCCGTAATGTTAATTTTTGTTGGTTAGATTCTTCTTCACGTTTTGGTCGTTCTATTTTGCGTTATCTTCTTGTAGTATTTTTGATTGTAGTTGAATTTACTCCAGGTTGGACTGCCTGGGAAAACAGTCTCCGCACTCACGTGTCAGGATCGGGGGAGGAAATCTGAACGGGAAAGTTCCTCCAGTGATGATAAATGTGCGTGGGGTTTTTGTGTTACGGTAGAACGACGGTTAACTTCAACTTTCGCTTAAGACCGTTGGAAGCGGCCTCTGTTTGTGAGGATCTCAATCCCTCATGGAATTTCAGTCTGCTGAATCGCTCTTAAACTAAATTTCGGTCTCTTCCATTCATAAACCCGCCCTGAGGTTGGGTTTCTTGCCGGGCAAATTAAACTTGACGAGTGGTCCTCTTCGGAGGTGGCGCTTAAGCCACTCGTTTTAGAGACAGGAAGCGTATTCGGTGGTCGAGATCTCGCAGGCCGCGAGGCGTGCGTAACATTTGGCGCCCAACAAAACAAGGCTTTTTTGATTTTGGGTGTTTTGGAACTTGTTTTTTTTTTTGCAGTGTTGGATTTAGAAAACTCGAATTGGTCTTTTTCATTATTTACATACATTATTTATTTACTTATTTGCAAATGATACATTTTTCTCGTTTAGTTATTTTGTACATGTTTTTTTTTTTTAAAGCTTACATAATTTTTATTGCTAATTCATATAAAGCTTCTTAGTAACTGAAAGAATATTACATATTTTCGTAAGTGTAGTTTCTATACATATATATATTTTGTTTGTTCGTTAAATTAGCTGATTAATAACGTCCTTAAATATTTGCAACGGAATCCATTTAAAATTTACAATTAAGTTTTCGTGCGGGTGAATTAAAGCTTTTTGTTTCTTCTGATGACGATTGTTGACCGTTTAAGATAGGATATACATATATTAAAAAAAAAAAAAAAAAATAAAACCAGCATCCAAATGAATCGATGCTTTCCTCGAGCGGAAGATCTCGATCAAGAAGAGATCGATTATGAGCTTGATATACGGAGTCAACCAGAAGAAGTTTTTCGACTTGATATCCAAGGGAAACAAAGACATTTGAGGCAATTGTTCAAAAGTGACCAGAAGGAGGGACGTAATTATCGGTCAAACGTCAGAATTCAGGACGAGTCAGAACACATTATTTCAAAAATTGACTGGCTTGAAAATGCTTTGTACAGGAAAGTGGAACCAAAGTATGAGTCAAGGGTAATTCATTATTATTATCGGGTTAAAAGGTGCGTTGCGAGTTCTGAGGATGAAAAGAGTTTAAGGAGGGAACTTAGTCGAAGGATTGAGAACATTATGCAGCAGTATCAGTTTGGTCCATCGTTGTCTCCGTATAAGGAGCAAATTAATAACATTATTCAGAGTTTAAGAGGCGCCTTTGGTACGACGAAACAAGGTAAGGTTAAGCAAACTTCGCTGCCCGATGTTCCACGAAATGATCAGTGGGAATTTTCACCAGATCCCTCCAAAGGGGCAACTCCAAAGGCACCATGGGTGGATGTACCAGGGACAAACAACGAGTGCATGACAGGATCGCGGAACCATGGAGATACCATTGAAATACCTCGAACGGAATGGGAGGCTATGAAGCGAATGCTTTCAGAGCTGGTAATGAGTCACGGTAATAATAAGAATGGTCTTCAGAATCCGGAAAGGGCAGAAGGGCCAGAGCGTCTGAACGGCCGCAAAGGACATCAAAAAACTACAAACCGTCAACTAACGATCAATTCAAATGGCCAATCAAATACGGAATCCAGTGAAGAGGAACCACGGGTACCAGGACACAGAGCCGACGATTACAGAGGTGGACAGGACGACGATGAAAGGGACAGCTACGAAGACTCCTTATCGAGCTACGCCAATGGTAATTTCCGGCAACCTCGTGGACGGGATACATATCGTCACAGACGCTACGCTGGCCAGGGTCGGGTGGAGAAATGGAAGCTGAGATTCTCTGGGGATCCACGCGGAATTTCGGTAGAAAATTTCCTCTACAAGACCACCAAACTAGCTGAGCGGGAAGGCATACCAAAACATGAGCTGTTGAGGGATATCCACATACTTCTGGAAGGGGCTGCATCGGACTGGTTTTTCACTTATGTGGACGGCCTGTTGACATGGGAAGACTTCCAAAACGGAATTACTTACCGTTTCGGTAACCCGAATAAGGACCAAGGAATTAGATCCAGAATCCAAGAACGGAAACAACAGCGGGGCGAGTCGTTCATTGCTTTTGCATCCGAGATCGAGAAGCTCAACCTGATGTTATCGCAACCGTCATCATTTCAGATTACAAAAAGCTATCGTCGTGGTATGAAAAATGTCAGGGAGAATGCAATGACTATAGCTTATCGTAATCTAAAATAATGCGTCCAAATGCGTCAAAATATGAGCTTGAATTTTTGGAAAATGCACCGGAGTAAATTACATATTTTGTCTACTTTTCTAACACGCTCCACACTGTTAAAATCAGAGACCATGTCTTCAATCCCTGGCATAGTTGTCACTCGAACAACTGAAACTTTCCCAAGAAAAATGCACTCGTAATTCTTCGGTTCACGCGGTTTACATATTCATGTTAGTTGACAAATTTAGTCGATCACTTAATTTCATTCATGTTATTTTCAATGATCAAATGTCATTATTACCTGGGATTTTTCAAATAATATTGTGTGAATATTACATCACGTGCATCCAAAAATTAACGTTTAGCGATTTGTTTGTTTGCCACTTCGATTCAATAAACATGTAGCACTCTAATCCATCCTTCGCGAAATCTAATTGATCTGAATAAATGGAATAAGGTTTGGGTATTTCCACGAAAGATGATTCAACTAATAACCTACCCAATGATTCATGGTGAATGATAAACAATATGTTTTCAATCAACCGCCTGGAAAATCCCAGAATCTTTTGAACAACTTATTTACAATGACCACAACATAAGCCATCCACGGGTTCACAGTGACCTAATCAAACATGCACCCTAAATTACCCATTAAGCCGCATCAGATCTCCTCTGTAGTTAGCGAAAATTGCAACCGTTTTTGTCGAATCTTCTCGCACCTTCTTTTGGATCTCGGACGTTTGAACCTCACGAAACTCACGGTAAATCTACACCGAGCACGCTTTGCCCCAGACCCACTTCTGCTACCTCTGCGACCTACGTACCCATTAGCGGATAATTGTCCACTTCTTCGGCGATCCACTGCTATGTGCCACCGCCAGCACTAGTCTGGGTCTCGATAAGTTGCAATAAACTGCAAAAAAAATCCTCAGCACGTGCATCTCTTTCTAGCCTCTGCATTGTCTGCCCAAACCACGAAATGCGCCTCAAGAAAGACCCATTTGAACGTTGAACTTCGCGTCGCGGCTGCATCAGCTGATCGATCGGACCCCTCCGCCAAAGACTTCTTTTTCTCGATTGCTTCCTTTTTGGAGCTTTTCTTGACGACGGTTGCTGGTAGTGCTGCTTGTGTACATATTCAAATTGTCGAATTAAGCGAGCCAATAATTATATTCTACGCGAGAAAGGAAATGTGATACATATCTTGTAAGAGCCTGCCGCCGAGCACCAACACAGTGAAGGAAAATCTTTGCGCGTGTGCCACCCTCCCTCTCGAGGGGGTGAAGAAAATCCTTGATCGGAACCGATGAATCATAGACAAAGTTTGGCTACTCATGACTCACCGTCCGATGATTCCTAGTATAAAAAGCAATTGATGGTCCTAGATTGGACATAGTTCACAGATTCATCTCAAACAAAGCACTACACTGCAGTTCGGTGAGTGAGTAGTTCTTAGCAATTAGTGACAAAGAACATTCCAAAGACATCATGTGAAGTGATTCTAGAGCAAGTGAGTTCAAATTTTGATTTGTAATTTTCTTTGCAGTAGTCAACATGAAGCTCTTCGTCGCGGTTTTCGCCCTGATTGCTGTCGTGGCCGCCCAGGACTTGTACACCAGCAAGTTCGACAATGTGGACGTTGACGAGATCCTCAAGTCAGACCGGCTATTCAAGAACTACTACCAGTGCCTGATGGACGAGGGCCGTTGCACTCCGGAAGGTAACGAACTGAAGCGTATCCTGCCGGAAGCCCTCGAGACGAACTGCGCCAAGTGCAGCGAGAAGCAGCGTGCTGGTGCCGTCAAGGCTTTCGGATATCTGAGCGAAAACCGACCGACCGAATGGAAGGGCCTGCGGGAACGTTTCGACCCGGAAAACAAGTACATCGAACAGTACCGCGAAGAAGCCGAGAAGAACGGAATCAAGTTGTAAACAAATGTGGTTCATTTTTACGCAGACTTTCGCTACACTGCAACTCCCATTGAGGGGTATTTCGTCTTGATTCGTTACACATTTGTAAATGGTTCGGTCATACACAAACGACAATAGCCACGCCGTGATTCAATCAGTACCTCGAAACCATACTCTGCAATAAAATTGTTTGTTAATTAGTTTTATGAGTAAAATCGTTTGAGTGTTTTCATATTTCCACAACTTAGTTATGATTGAACGAAATAAGAGCAAAATTTTAAGAAATGTTCTGAAACGCTAGTTTTGATCACGTTAAAATCCTAAAGCTGTGTCCCATTAGGCGAGTTGAATTTAACGCGATGTTAAGAGTGACAGTCCGAAAATTGTTTTTTTTTCATGTTAGAAAATCTCTGTGATGTCGATCGACCGGCTTTTAAATAGAACTCAGCTAAGGTTGTAAACATTTAACTTCTTGCTTGTCAAAAGTAACCACGCTGGGTAACCACGCAGGGTTAAACCATTATAGTACAACATTATAGTAATGTCCTTTAATCCAGTAACGCAATCGACGTACTTAGATTAAAGGTGTTGAAATTATGGTGTAATATTACTTGCCAAAAAGGACAAAATTATCATTAATACAGTGCATGAACTGACATTACGCTTCATTTACTGCATTTGTTTATGTTTGTGGCCATGAGATTTTCGACATGACTGAAGTGCATCCTCTTGGATGCAATATTAAAATTCATTTTTTGCTGTGTACTACAATCAAGTCTGTCATAAGTATTATATTTATGACAAACATCCGGATTTTTCTTCACATAAATATCGTTTCTCTTGCCAGACAATATGCAAATTCAAAAATTGCACAGGCTTAGAAAACGTTCAGTTAACAATTGTGAAGAGATTAAAGAACACTATGTTAATAAATAGTCAAAGAAGGCAATGAAGGATTCGCCATTCGATTACCAAATTCTAAGAAAATCTCCGGCAAGCAAAATAAAAAAAACGACTGAACTATTGAGTGTAGCATCTTCATGTCTTGCAGAATGATTCTTCATTTTTTGAATACTTTATTTGAGTTGTAAAAATGTTTGCTTAGGAGGTAGGTATTCAATCCGAAAACAAAAATACATTTTTATGCCTTGTTAAAAATGATGAACAGCTAGGAAAACATTGTAGATCAAGTCATTTTAATCTGCTCTGTGGCAAACAAAAAAATTCTATCTCTCATGTGGACGAAGTTATGAGGTAAAAATGGAGTACAAACGGTAGTACCCCCTTAAAAAGCGTTTAAACCATATTTTTTTGTTTGAATTTTCCTAGTTTTTTAAAGATCGACAGAGTTTGAAGTGCTTCAAAAATGCACGTTTCTTCAGAAGGAAGCAAATCGCTATCTCTTTGTTTAGAGGATTTACGTCCGTTTTTATGATTTGTTAGCAATATCTTTAAGAGGGTGTATTTTGCAGGTTAGCAGCTATTAGCAGCTAATCTCAACGTCATTTCGTTCAGCAACTTACACCCTACTGTTATATATATACAATTCATAGGGGGATCCAAGAGGATGCCTAATCAATTTTCAAATAAAGTACCTCAATGTTTTGTTTCATTTTGCTGTATTCATAACCATTTATCTAGAATGTACATTAGGGTGGGTCAACTTTACATACATACAACCACCTGTTCTCCATTGCTCTTTAAATGCGTATTAACCCAACCAACACACATGTTCTATAACAGTTTATATAACCTTTATATGACTGGTATTGGTTGTATAGTAGTTTACTCAACATAATTCTATGTATTTATGTTACTTGGGAAGGTTCCCAACAACTGTGCAAAATTTTAACAAATTTGGTTATAATCACGACTTGAGGGAAATTTTTAAATTTTGTGTGGGAAACGGAACGATCATATTAATTTGATTACCTAAAATCGAAGACATTATATCAAGAAGACTGGCAACTTTGCCAGAATCCGAGCGACAGATACAGCGCTTGAGTGAAGGTGAAAGCAACGCATAGAAAAATGTGCAAATACTCAAACCTTTCTTCTGAGGATGTAATCTTTGCTATCAAATTCGTTCAAAGCATTTACCTTCGAGCGACAGATAACGCGATTGTATACCTGTCTCATAGCGTTCGGTTGATAAAATAGAAGAGTTGCCATTCTTCTTGATTTGTTGTCTTTGCTAAAATCCAAATATTACTAAAATTTCACCAAATCTCACACTTAGATTAAGAATAGTGTAGTAATACTAACCTCAACAAATTACCCTTTTGAATAATTCCTTATCCCTTACTAAGGACCATGCATCACATGGGAAGTATAATTCCATTACACATCATAAATTAAATACTCACTCAGCTTGACCTAGAAACAATTACCCAAATTCTCAGCCTACTGAGAAAACACCAAAACCTTTTCCTTTTCCTTATTTTGAGACCATTTAAGTGCTACCATATGTACACAATGAATTCCGCGCGTATGTACGCCAAATAGTTTACAAAACAAGCCTAACGCGTCGCTTCCCTCCATGCTAGTTTTCATTTGAAGAACCCGGTAAAATAAACTCACATTCTACTTTCAACTGTCTAGGACTATAGTGGATAAATCCGAAAGTCCGATCTTGCCACATGGCAACCGTGACAGGACGATAGTCATGTGATTTTCAAATAAAGTACCTTTCTTGCCACAATAGTATACAAAACAAGGGGTAAGTCACTCAGCACATTGTACCGAAATTAGATTCGGCACAGCTTGGGCACATCCATCGGCTACCTTCGGCACAATCTCGTAGGCATTAGATTGTTATAAATAAAATGGGAGCTTTGCTGGACATTTTTCATTGAAATTGTTCACAACATTACGTGCTGTTTGACTGTATATTCAGGAACATCCTACAATTGAATAGACCCGCAGTTCATTTTTCGGCTCATTTATAGATCTAAATACGCAATGTAGGTTCAAGAGTGGGCTCAAGAGGAAGAGGCATTATTTAGACCCCATTAGCACCCTTAATTCAAATAATGCTGCAATTCATACAAAACAAACTACAGAAGTCATATTCATCATCCTCTATATTCGGTCTCTAACAATGTTCCCCACCGGTTCGAGCTCTTTCCGGCCGCTGATAAACCGTTGCTTTTCACATCATGAAAGGCTAGGTTTCTGGACTGCCTTTGAGGGCATTATAAACCCCTAAAACGGACGTTTATTATCATATGAACACAAAACACCACAATTTTGCACACCCGCCACTTCCCGCGTCATCCTCAATCCCATTTTTGCATGCGATTTCAAACCAAAACATTCAAGGTGTCAGAAATACCGGGTTGCCGGGATGGGTATTTTACAAACAATCGCAACTTACTCTATGACCGGCACTATCGGCACACCTGCGGCACATTGACAAAAAAGATAACCCAAGATTGGTGTGCGGAGTGCCCTACCCCTTGATACAAAACAACTTTGTCGAAGACTGCAAATCGATTTGATGTTTATGCAAAAAGTTACAACCCTAATAAACAAATACCATAAACGAACTATATCCTGGATGGGTAAACTATCCCACAAATGGTTTGGATGATACCCCGAACACGTCGTTAAGCTCTCTTTTATGGTTATTTTTATTAGGGAAATCTTTCACTTTAGACTAAGCTCATATATACGCAATAGGTCTAAATGTATGAAAAAAAACTAAGTTTAGATGTCTAAATGTATAATAATATTTTTTTATCAGAAGCCTAATCGATTTGCTGTCTACGACATAGTTGTTGTGTATAGTATTCTCAATCTAAATCCGGGATTTGGTGTAATTTGAGCAATATTTGGATTTTGAGCAAATGAATAAAACCGTTCCGTTTCCTATACAAAATTTAAAATTCTCCCGCAAATCGAGATTATAACCAAATTCGTTAAAATGTGGGACAGTTGTTGGGGTCCTCAATACGCATTGAACAGTGGAGAACAGGTGGTTATGAAGTTGACCCACCTTAATGTACAAACTAGGAAACGCTACAAAACATTGAATACAGCAAAACGATACAAAACATTACACTTTACTTACAAGATAGGCAAATCATTTCTTTTCAAATTCCGTGTTAGGTCAAATAAAAACAAAGCCACAGGAGTCTGATTGCCTCTACGCAGAACAGAATTCCAGACTTATTCGTGATTAGGGCGTAAAGGTTTTTGTAAACAAACAATCTCGCATACAAACTATAACTCTACCACCCAAGTAACATTTTACGTTTTATTAAATACTACAAGGCTGCTATAAAACATCATTCATAAAACCCTGGTCAAGGCGGTTTTGCCTTTATTACATCCACCAAAACCTCATTAAGACTAGCTATTTTGCTTTCATGAAATCGCTAACCAATACAAAACGTTTTAATTTGGCTTCAATGCAGATAATTTTCAGACTGAATTGTATTTATCTTAGGCCATTATGACGGTATTAACGGTGCCTGGAAAAAGTTAAACGTCAAAATTTGTTTACATTTCGATAGTTTTGTTGCGCGATCATTGCACCGAGCCTCTACTCCTGCGTTGGATCAACAAGTTGCGTGGCATCCTCGATAAGGGCGATTATCATCCATTGGAAGCAGTTAACCAGGAAGTGTGTCTGCATAACTTGGAACAGGTGGAAGCTCAATCGTTCCCAAAAAGTTTACCTTCTCCCGGATGATCCGAGGAAATTAATGTGCGCTTGCTTGGATTTTAATATTATTTTGGGTATTCCCATCAATTTTAAGCGTCTAATTTGACGGCTTCCAGTGCTTCGTGAACCGCATTCACTCACTCTTCTCAGTCGGCTGTTCTGTCATTGTTGACCGGTTCAGTCAGAGCTGCTGGGTCTCCCAGGAAGTTGTGGAATTGAAGTCTTTTTTCCTTTTCTCCTACTATCGCAAGTATTATTATTCGACTATCCTTTGGCATTTCCTTGTGATTCTTCGTTTAAAGCTTCAATCGATTTATTTTTTCTCTGTCTCTTGGCAGATCCATATTTTAAGTTCTATTTGTAAACAGTAGGGTGTTTAGTGATACACTTTACTGACACCAAAAAGCAGCAATATATGCTTTTTATTCCCGTTTGAAACCGAACGGTTTTATAATTGCTTATATAATGATAAAATACCATTATAGAGTATTTTGTCAAGGCATTAATAAAAAAAATACCGAGCAGGTTTATGATTGACTAACTGAACAGTTTTATACAGGGATAGAGTGCTGCTTTAAATTCATTTTTAAAAACCAGACCCGTTTTGACATTATCGTCAGACTTTAAAAAGTTTTAAAAACAGCAAAATGCTGAACTACTGACCTAGAATGTGTTGCACTTTTAAACGCTGTATTTATACTAAAAAGATTGCCTAATCGTTTCCCAGATTGAGTTTCTATTAGCAAGAAATCGGCGATCAACGTGTTTGTTCACAAAAGCATGCATGCCCTAATCACTAAGCTGTTCGAAATTATGGACACATCCTTGACGATTTTTTTACGATTATACCAGAACTTAAAGCTCGCCTGAGTGTTTTTAATGGAAGCAGAAGATGATTGACGTTAGAATACAAGAACAGTCCCGCAGAACAACTTTTTTTTAGACAGCGTTTTTCAAAACTTGTTACTCACACAGATTATAGATTTGCTGGCAGATCTCCAGTTTGCTACTCACAGCAAAAAAAAATATAATATCGATCAACGTAATTCAAGCTGATGTATGAAATAATGATGTAATAGCAAAAATCAGATACAATATTACATCAATTGACGTAATTTTGTTCGCAAAATCGATGTACATCGGACAACGTAATATTACATAGCCGGCGGAATGATTTCTGTGCAGCTGTTTGGATGTAATATTCAACAACTTTTTTTTTCTGTGTTGGTATTGCAATTGAGACTGAACGAGTGCTAAATACAGCTTCCTTTTTTAGAGAATTGATATGTGCTGCCCAGCCCATTGTAGCATCCATGGCTAGTTCCAGAGTATTCATCCACTTCTTCCAAACATGGCCACGAATTATTCACGATTTTGGTGAAAATAATTGTTGTATCTGACAAGCGTGTTTCGCAAACATATTGCGCGCTATATCTTGTTTTGAAAGGAATTTCCCAACAACAACTGAAACGTTTCCGCTGGGAACGTATTATAAGCGCAGAAAATAACATCATTAACAACCTTTCCTACGACAGTAAACCTTCCATTCAGCGCTAGTAAAGCGAAGAAAAAGGTCGACACTAATCAATTCAATCATGATGTTTTAATCAACGTGTGCAGCGGAAAAGTTCTGCCCACTCTGCTTCTTCCCGGTATCGTCACTGTCGCTCAGGTTAATCACTACCGTCTGAGCACTGTTGCGAACAGGTCAACAAAGTCCGTAAATAAATACCCCGCACTTCCCTCCTGTGCTGCTGCCATCTATCCGTGCACTACCTATATCACGGACGGATTGGTGAGCTTAGGAGATGAATATTCATTCGATTCTTCGGCGGAATGAACAGACACAAAATGTAGCATGACACATCCGCTGTGCTGCACTGCGCTGGCCAACTGACTGACTGACTGGTGGCGTTCCAGTCCATTGACTATAATTTTCGAAACAACAAATTTGAACTAACACGCCTTGTGTGCACTGACGTCAATCGGTCACAGGCTCATTACCATTTTTTGCTTTTGTTAGCATAGATCAAAGAAAAAATACTGACCAAAAATCGACGACAGCGCGTGAATTTTTTTACGGCAAATAATACACCCAAAATAAAACAAATGAAACGTACATGTTAACGATATCTGAGGACCGATTTATTCTACTACGTTTCAAAATTCTCTCATCACAGGCACCTTTGGAATTTGCATATAAATTAAGTACTACAACCAATAGTACACTACTGATGAACAATTTCACACTTGCTGGACAATCTTCACAGGGTGATACCGCTCTGCTCCGCCTCGGCGCGGTACTTCTCGATGTAGGTATTATCCGGATCGTACTTTGCCTGCAGGGTCGTCCACTGTTCCGGGCGGTTCTCTATCATATAGTTGATAACCTTGATGGCCCCGGCTCGCTGAGCTTCGGTACACTTTTCGCAGTTTGTCTGCAGCGCTTCCGGCAAGATACGCTTCAGCTCATTGCCGTCCGGAGTGCACGGACCCTCGTCCATCAGGCACTTGAAGTAGTTGTTGAACAAGCGATCCGACTTGAGGATTTCCTCGACATCGATATTATCGTATTTGGTAGTATACTGTTCATCCTGAGCCGAAACCAGGGCAAACAGGGCACAGGCCGCAACGATGAAAAACTTCATTTTGGTAACGGTAATCTATCCAGAAAATTAGACGCAAACTGAATTAAAATCACTTATACCACCAAAAGACTTGAGCCCGTTTAAGCGACGAACCCGGTCTCAAACCTACCGAAAAAAAACGCACTAATGCCTCTCTGTTGCAGATGCAGAATTGAACTATGCTCCGAGTACAGATCGTCTTACATTATATATACTAGGTAATAAGAAGCATCACAATGGCAGCGGGGCCAACCGAGATAGGCCCGTGTAAACCAAGGATTTTCAAGCATTAAAGAGGTCGACTTTTTACCTCGCCTGGTTCATTCTCGCCAGTCTGCCAGTAGGCCAAAGCATGCCTTCAACAACATATCTGATGAGTGCGTGCGTGCAGTTGCAACGCTTCGAATGCACGCTTTGCCGTTCAACGCTGACCGGTTAGGTTCGCTGGACAGACGGTGTGAAACCAATTGTTAATTGCTGGCTGCCTCCCGACGGATCAGCTGTTCTTGCGTGCGCGTCCAAAAAATCGTGAGTCGTCTCGATTCGACAAAAACCCGTCTAACTGTATGGTTTGTAATTTATGTCCTTTTTGGTCAACCAAATTTAAGGTTATTCACCTTCATTGTGACTGCAGCAGTTGCAGATAGCCAGCACGAAACACAGTAGTTCAAACGGGTAGCCAGAGGGTAAGTGCTCCAACCCAAACTCTGTCTGTCCATTTTTTCATCATCTATTCATGATTTCATCTATTATTTGAGTAGTGGCTGCTTCAATTGTGATCAATCAACCAGTCGTGAGCTATCATCTGTTACTGCACATCGAATAGCACCGTTTTAGCAAATCATTATAAGTGCTCCTTTGACAGTTAGAAAAAAACAACCTCCACTTGTTAATCAAGTTAGTCAACATTTTTGACTGCCCCAAAAGAGTAACCGTTTATCAGTACGTCACATATGTTATTTGAGTGGCATGGTATACTCTCAAGCATATCTCCATACCTCACGGGTTCATGGACGGGCTATGCTTTGTTAAACCGTTTTGGGTATAGGCATTTTTTTACGCAATAAGTATAGCAACTGTCTTGATGGCCTTCAACATGACAACCACGACGTAGGAAGCAATCGATAGGCAAATAAGTCACTACGTATATTGAGTTATTCAGCCCTTACTAGTTTTTGCATGACTTGCCTAATTTCCATATTACATTTCTGATTGCTTACTGCAACACTAACCAGTGAGTGTTCTTTTTTTTTTACAGAGATAATCCATTAATTGGAACATAATTATTAAGCATCTCTTTTGGTTCAACTTAGCCCTAGACTAATAGAATATATTAATATTTTCACAAATACAAACAAGGAATTTTATGAAGATGATTATAAAACCGTCATGACAGGCTTCTTCGAATTTGACGAGCTAAAGGAAACTAAAGAGTCGACTAAACGTTTATCCCCAACTTGTTCTAGAGCTTAATGCAATTTTAACGTATATAATAGTCGGTTAACACCATTAATTGAAGTAGGCCGCGATGCTGAATTGACGATTTTTTTTTTGCTGCGTGATTGTCTCATGAAAAATTAAATTCATATTTCAAATAACTTGAAGTGAAGTAAATTGTAAAAAATGGGAAGGGGAATTGTTAATGGATTGCGTGACGATGACCAAATGAAGATCTACTCGTTTCCGTTGCTTCAGCAATTGTTATAGGCGAATAGTGAAGTCTTCCGGAAGACAGCAGGTTGCTCCAGCCGGCACTGACGCACAGCTACCTATGGTATTGTTTGGCTTTCGTTTCTGTAGCTCTTATTCAATAAATCAATAAATTTACTGAAGCTCTTCAAATACGCGTCAATCAATTATTGTACTACTGCTACACTACATTGAAAGTTTCAATACATGATCAGTGCTATTAGCATTGATATTGTACACCCAACCCTTTATTTACGTGGTTGTAGTTGTCATCCTACCGCCTTTAAATGAAAACAACACACTTAGAAATGACTATTTTTACACGTGATGGAATCCTTCTTTGACATAAAAGAACATAAAGTAAACAAACACGTCATGTAATATTAAGTGCTCCAATACTGAAAAGGAGTTATCCAGCCGGCTTCATTGACGGCCGATCAACAACGGACCAGATCTTCACCGTACGGCAAATCCTCCAGAAATGCCGTGAATACCAGGTCCCAACGCATCATTTGTTCATCGACTTAAAAGCGAATCATGGAAAGTCATGGACGAGAACGGCTTTCCTGGGAAGCTGATCAGACTGATCAAAGCAACAATGGACGGTGTGCAAAACTGCGTAAGGGTGTCGGGTGAACTATCCAGTTCATTCGAATCTCACCGGGGACTGCGACAAGGTGACGGACTCTCATGCCTACTCTTCAACATCGCTCTAGAAGGTGTAATACGACGAGCCGGGCTCAACAGCCGGGGTACGATTTTCACGAAATCCGGTCAATTTGTGTGCTTTGCGGGCGACATGGACATTATCGCAAGAACATTTGGAACGGTGGCAGAACTATACACCCGCCTGAAACACGAAGCAGCAAAGGTCGAACTGGTGGTGAGTGCGTCAAAAACAAAGTACATGCTAGTAGGCGGAACCGAACATGACAGGATTTGTCTAGGAAGCAATGTCACGATAGACGGGAATACATTCGAGGTAGTGGAGGAATTCGTTTACCTTGGATCCTTATTGACGGCTGACAACAATGTGAGTCATGAAATACGAAGGCACATCATCAGTGGAAGTCGTGCCTACTACGGGCTTCAGAAGAAACTACGGTCAAAAAAGATTCACTCCCGCATCAAATGTACCATGTAAAGAACGCTAATAAGACCGGTGGTCCTCTATGGACACAAGACATGGACTATGCTCGAGGAGAACCTGCAAGCACTCGGAGTTTTCGAGCGACGTGTGCTAAGGACGATCTTCGGCGGTGTGCAGGAAAACGGTGAGTGGCGGCGAAGAATGAACCACGAGCTCGCTGCACTCTACGGCGAACCCAGCATCCAGAAGGTGGCCAGAGTTCCATTCGTGTTTAAAACCCGCTTAAAAATAAAACCGAATAGTCGAGCAGTTGTAAAGCTGGCACTAAGAATAATCAAACTGCTGTTATAGTTTCAAATTGACCACTCAAAATATTCTTTAAAATTTGTCGAACCTCTCAACGGAATCCCTTTATGTAGAGCCTTAAGCGTGTTGGTTTATTTCCTTTAAATTCCGTTATAATTGCTTATCTTTTGACAGATACGCGTATTTCGTCTACAACTTGCAGACTTCATCAGTGTCAAGTACTCAACACCACTGAAGAATCCATTTTTATCTACGAGTTAAATACGAATCTATAGGTACTAAAAATCAGCAGGTATCCACTGCCGTGTCACAATTTACGCCCTACTCAACTGTCTCAAATTCGCAAATCAACTTCAGGCATCAGGAGAGATTCGGGAAGATGAAGTCATGGTTTCATTTGATGTCACAGCACTTTTTTCCGAGTGTACCAGTAAAGGAAGCCATCAGCCTTTTAGAGGACTGTCTTCTGAAGCAACGTGCGGATTCTACTTGGAAAAACAAAGTTCGGTCATATCTCAAGCTTACTCGTCTTTGTATGGAGGAAAATTATTTCATTTTCAGAGGAAATTTTTATAAACAAACTAAAGGCGCTCCTATGGGCAATCCGCTTTCTCCATTTTTATGTGAATTGTTCATGGCTAATCTGGAAAATACTGTGGAGAATAGGAATTGGTTGCCCAAATGTTGGTATAGGTACGTGGATGACATTTTTAGCATTGTCAAAAGGGAAGATTTATCAAAAACTTTGGAGGCCATAAGTAACGTTCACAAGGACATCAAATTTACTCACGAAGAAGAGAGAGACGGCAAGCTACCCTTCCTAGATCTTCTCATCATCAGGGAAACGTCTTCGTTCAATTTCGAAATCTATAGGAAACCAACAAATACAAAGAGAGTAATACCAAGCACTTCAAATCATTCCCATCAACACAAAATGGCCGCTTTTCACCAAATGGTTCACAGGATGCAAACTCTTCCTCTTAGCGATACAGGGAAATCAAAGGAAATAGCTCACATTTTTGAAATCGCTAGGCTTAATGGGTATCAAGAAAAAAACAATTCAAGCAGTATTCGATAAAAGGGATCATTTTAGGCGTATTTCGACAACTCTTACACCAGTAACTGAGCGTTTAAAACGGGTAGCGGTGAATTTAGACAAAATTTTCCAATTATTACCAAACCGTTGATTTTGAAGTTTAGAAGTTTTGGCCTAGATTTAGTATTCAGCAGCAGAACAAATCAGATGAAGTCACTGTTAGGATCTACAAAAGATTCAATAAATGTCTTAGGGAAAGCCGGAGTCTACAAAATGTCTTGTCCAGATTGCAATAAAATCTACATGGGTCAGACGAAAAGGACTTTGGAAACAAGGTTTAAGGAGCACATCGCAAAGGTAAAAAAGGCTAACTAAAAGATGGATCAAGGACTTCATTATGAATTTAAATCGGCGGAGTGTATCTTCGCCTTGGAAACTAGACGTAGCAGAAAGTTTAGAAATATTTAAACATAATCCATCAACATTGCTTAATAGAGATCAAGGAAACTGATACTCGAGACTCTTTAGCATGCTACCTAAAACCACACAACGTAGCATGCATCTACCTGTCCCCTCCAGAATTGCTGCTACTTTCTATGGTACTATTCAACGGTGAATAATAAAATTGGACCACCAAAGATTTGTTTAAAGTCCTTTATGTTGATAACTTTGTTATGTTGTGGACTAGAAAAAACAATTTTGAGAAATTACATTATATCAAATCGATGGCAATAAGATGTCTTCAGGCGCTACCAATTGGCCATGATCCCAGGGATTTTTTTTACGTTGTAGGAGCTTCGTAAAACTACAAATAGAAGTTCAAGAAAGATCGTAGAAATTAAGTAAACTTGGTAGAAATTCTAGCATCTTCATATACCTTTAGAAAAATTCGTAGAAAAAAGGAAAAGTTCTGAAAATAGAGAATTCATTTAAATTTGAGGAGCTTCGTAGAAGTTAAAGCAACATTATTTTATTTCCGAGAAGCTCATTATTGATCGGGAACATCTAGGACATAATTTTTTATTTTTTTATTTTTTAATATTTGTGGAAATTATGTACAAATTCAAACAAATTCGTTCATGTTCGTGGAAACTCAACGAAAAACGTAGAAGTGCAGTGTAGAAGTTTTTTGAATTTCGTAGCATTTTGAGGAGCTGCTTAAAACTTCATATGAGTGTAAGGAAAAAGTACAGGGATTTGTAAAAGATCTAAAAATAGTTCAATAAACTTCTAAGAACTTCAGGGATTTTCGCTTCAGCTTAGGGAACTTTGTTGCAGTTTGTCAGAGATCTTACTCCAAAAAAGCTCCATAAACTTCTTGGAAGTTTTGGGAACTTCGCTAAATTTCAAGCAACTTTCTAGGTGTTCAAAAATATTTGTAGATGTCTTAGGTGTCTTTCCAGAAGTGCAAAAATGTTCAGAGATCTTTGTAGAATTACAAGTACAATCATTCAAGTTTCGAGCTCATTCCTTTCGATTAGAAATATAGTTAAATCTTGATTCTATATATCGAATAAAAAATTGTTCTGGATAAATGCTTTATTACTTTTTTTTCTCTTCAAATATCAGAATCATGACAAGGTAACTTAAAAAACCTGATTAAATTAAATTATAACCTGATTATCCACAATTCTTTCCACATGTCAAGATTTTTCGAAATTTTTAAATCCTAATTTTTTCTTACTTTCTTATCTCGAAGAATTTTTATCTCGAGAAATGCTGTAAGTCTCAGAATCTAGGTAAGTTTCATAAGATCTTGAATTAGGAATTTTGAAGACCAGGAGATTCAGACGGCTATGAAATCGAAAATTGTTTTTAATATTAATGTACTAGAATTTTCATGAAATGAGGAGGAAGAAGGATCTTGCAACTTTATCTTAGTCTTATAATTATTACAATTGGTCTGAATTTGTTGACTTTTACTTACTGTATTCGAAGAATTTATGCAAACAATCTGTATCAGAGATATCCTTTTTCATTAGTTACAAAATCTGGAAAACATTTTGGTTTGGAATCCCAAAATTATTATTTTAACATACAAAATGTTAAGAATTCTGCATCTGCAGCATATGCATGTACGTAATTGGTGGATTTGTTAGTTATTTCGACGCTTTTGAACAATGCTTGATATTTCCCATTTTTCAATAGATTCTTGTTGAAAATCAACGGTCGGAAGCATTGCTATCGATGCGTAGAAATATTTCTGATCGATTGGTGATAACATTATTGAAGTTGGTCCAGGGGCAGCAGAGTTATTAACGTTCAAAATCTTTCAAAATTTCGTTACATGTTCCATTTTTGGTTTTCACAAAGTGTACCTCCATATAGAAATCACAGGCATAGTCCTACGTCAAAAAACTGTGCATCGTGTACATTTTCCTACTTCCTTAATGTATTAAATTTATTCTGTGCGTACTTTACCTGGAAACAGTTAAAATGTTATAAAATTATAAAATTCAAACTCCTAGAATTCAATTTTGGTCCCTATGTCTGAGATTTGACTGATGGTGAAATATTCAAAATAAAAAAAAGCTAGTTACAAAATTCATGAAATTACCTAACTCTGAGAATTTTCTTAAGTTTGAGATGCTTACATTTACAAGATCCGGACTTTTATTTCATTACAAAACTCATGATCATTGCTTGTTCAAAATCAGTAAGCGTTTAAGGCTGTACCCAAAAATAAGTGGCCTTGACGCAATTTGAGTGGATTTTTATTTAATTATTTTGAAAAATTAAAAAAGTGCAGCAGGCTCCTTCTTAGGCCCCCTCCAGATAAATTGTCTAGCTACGCCAATGGTCAAACCTATTCCTTAAATACCGTCAGTTGAAATTAATTCTTTTGATTACGTTAATATTTTGCAATGTAAATCAATGTATTAAAATAATCGACCGAATTAATTCGAATTAAAGTCGCTAAAAACCTATTGTTTGAACTCGCCAGAACGCACAGCCGAAACTCGTACAAATCATCAACCAGTCGAAAAACGTATTACCCAAAGAATTATCTTGAAATTCGTCTTGGAATTCTTCTCAGCGAATGCTAGGTGCTATGCAGAAGTTCCCAGGAAATTATCCTCCTTAAAATGCTCCTCAAAACTCCCTTGAAACTCTGCTATGAATGCTCAATTAAAATGATCACCGTAGGAATACACATAGAAATTCGATAGTAGAATTTTTCTTAAATTATCCTCACAAAGTTCAGTGAATTAGTATCAAATTTCGATACGGATTCTACGTCTTCCACTTACTTTTCCACTCGTTGAACTCACTTGCAATTCTCCTCAAATTCCTCAGAATTTTCCTCAAAATTAGGTTGGAATTCTAGTTTTAAACTCTTTTGAAGTTCTCCTCCGAATTCCTTTGAAGCTTTCCTGGAATTCATCTCACAATTGCAATCTCCCTTAACACTTAGTATTCTTCCATTTTATTTTTCAATGCTACCCAACGCCAGGGAGGCGATCCTGGACCCTATCTATCGACCCATAAACTTCATGGACCAACGGCTTTACTTCCCTTAGGAAGGAAGGTGTGATCAGAGATTTTATACCTCAAAAATCCCGGCGGCGCCGACTGGGATCGAACCCAGGCCCTTTGGAGTGAGAGGCAATCACGCTTAACGCTACACCACCGGCGGCGGTAAGAGATGCCCTGTAAAATCAAATGTGTGCTAGCAAATTTATCGGCAAAAAAAAAATTTAATTTTAAAGGAATATATCCACAAGCCATGGCCAAGTATAACTTTTGTCCCGGTGCCTATGTGAAATCGGCCATGAGGGACATCCATTTAATTTGGCCAGCATCTGGTAATACAGATTTTGATAATCGTCTCATGATTGTCAATCCAGCATTAAATAGTCAACATTGAATTAAACTTCTCTATGTGCTCATTATTCTCTTCCATATGTATTCTTGATAATTCAACAACTATTGGAAAACCTATTAAAATACTACAGATTAAAAAAACAAAAACTTTTTTTTTACAAATTCGATAAATTGCATATCATATAATTAAAATTAAAATTTTGCATATCAAAACTGAGAAAAACCTTCTGTGGCGGAAATGGTTAAGGGTCCGTTTCGGTTTGCTAGGTATTTGAAGCCTTCTGGAGACGAATCCGCCTCACGCTAATGCAATTTTTACACGTTTCCTTCCTTCTTCGTGCATGTTAAATTTGTCTGGATCTGGAACTAGTCCATGTTATAGTGCTTGCCACACAAAATACAAATGCATACAATGGTATTGATTGAGTGGTAAGCGTGATTACCTCTCACCCCAGCAGGCCTGGGTTCAATCCCAGTCGGCGCCGTCGGGATGTTCTGAGGCATAACATCTCTGATCACGCCTTCCTTCGGATGGGAAGTAAAGCCGTTGGTCCCCGGTTCATGAGTTGATGAGTCGATAGGTAGGGTCCAAGTGTGGGAGCTGCCTTCCTGGCGTCGGTAGCATTGGTGCTCAGCATGGAAAAAGATCGACGGAAAACAAACCAAAGCCAAAACAAAATGGTATTGATTGGCATAGAATGCTCTCAATCAATAATTGAGGAAGTAAGTCGAGACTGGCTCTTGTTAGAGCATCAAAACCAGGACAAGGGAGAAGAATAAGCAACAATACTATTGACAGTTTAGAGTGAAAACCACTGCTAAAATATTCCGCAAGTAATTGCGGAATATCACCGCAAGCCTTCTGGATAACTGTCATCACCGGTTGCACAAGTCACGATCACTAGTTATCAATATCAATCCCGATAAATCGATTTCTACAAATGAACATGTCTGTGTCATCGGTGTCACTAATTCATTCCACCAGGGTGCCTTTTTGACGTAATAAAACTGTTATGTGAATTTCCTAGAAAGCGCTCGAGCAGGGTAAAATAATTCAACCAAGTGCTAACCGTGCAATTAAAGCCTCTATCTATAAAACTAGCGACAACAGCAAACTATAGTTTTGACGCAGGTTTTCAGCGGCAAATAGGATGAATTTAAAATGTATCAATACGGAAAGGTTAATGATTCGGAACCGAATGGGAGATTAGCGTTATAATTACCATAATTACCTCGGCAAAATGAAAATAAAAATGCAAATCAATTTTGCAAAAGTCATCGATTTTGAACCAAATAAACCAGATGTAGCATCCAAGACAACAATGACTACCGTCGTAGACATAGGAATGAAATTCACCCTGACTCATGCGATCCTTAATACAGCAGGCGCCGTGCCATCGCCCATGTGCATTGCATAAAAATATTCAGCGCTACGCTATACCAGCATCATCATGATCATTACTGCGATCATTCGATCAATGATGATGGCAACACATACGAAACCATCATCCTCGGTGGTGCTTTCGAATGCCACAAATACTAGCTCGCGATCAAAAGTGTTTACTAAACGCGCAGCTTCTGAAGTGGTTCTTCAGCAGCAGCAGCAACAACAACAACAACAACAGTAACCGGCAATTTCAGCAGTGACCAACCGTCTCCATTCTTCGCGTTCCTACATGCTATCTACAACCTAGCCTACTAAGAGCCGATCGCATCCAGGCGTGAAAAATCGCTCAACTGCCTGTGCCTATTAGATATCGCGCTTGTTGTGGGAGGGAGACCGTGTTTTGGTGACGTCACAAGTCGTCCTCGCGAGTTGAAGTTTTTGCGCGCTGAGCGATCGTGTTTGTGTTCGCGCAGAAACGGTGTCAGTATATATATAAAAGGTAGAAGGTTTCTTACTATCAGGCACAGTGCACAGTTCTAGTCCGGCAAGATAAGCTGTTTCAGTGTTCCAAAAAAGTCCCTGGCGTCTTCAGTTTCTGTTCTAGGTGAGTAGTAACGGACTCCGGTGTGGATGATTGCTAACGATTGGTACCGGAAATGCGGCTGAAATGACCTTTCGGATGAAGCGATTTTTCTGTAACGGTGTACAAGTGCAATAACGACCAGTGGTACCGGTACTGGCTGAACTCGTTTATTGATTATTAAATCATTTATCAGTTGTCTTGACTGTATCTGGTTAGCGGTGATCTAAACGAGTTGGTATAACTAACGGCAGTGGATGATGTTGGAATAGTTGTGAATAAGCTCGGCGTGATAAGTAGTAGTCGGAAACAAACGCGCGTTTTGTTATCATACCTAAATAGAACTAATTCGAGTCGAATTTAGCCCGAATGTAGTTGGTGCTGGTCAAAGCGTTAATTGTAGATTTGTTCAAATAGGAAATATGTAATGCAATGTTCCTAAAAGTCTACAAGTTCTTAGAATTTCTCAAGACTTTGCATGTAAAATGTTTCTATTTTGGCACATCTATCAAATTTACTATAATGATTAGGATTCTTTCAACAAATCGGAGATTTTTGGAATCCTGATTTTTTAACAATCAAAACGCTCCCATGAGATCTTTTAGAAATGAAAAATGGGAAACAAATGTTTCTCCTACAGTTGAGCGTCTACTGAAGATAGCATACGTAGGAAAGTCCTTCAAACGTCAAGTCCATTTTGAGGGCATATGCATAAATTATTTATTTGTGGGATTTTTGCAAAGTCACCGCTCCTTTGCACGCCACGCTTCGCTGGAGAATTGGCAGTTAAGAAAAGTGAAACCGTGTGACATTATAAATTCAAATTCATTCGGATTGGTACGATTTCGTCAAGGATCTAGATCAGCGCGATTTTTGTAGTTTTCCATGTTTGGCATTTTCGTCTGTTTACAGATTGATAAAGGGCGTCATCTAACACCTAGTGCGATAAACACATTTTTGAAGCCAATTTTTTTGAAGAAAGATAAAGTCGACTGAAAGGCTGAATTTATTACATTCTCTGCATATGTAATGGCAAATTTTTGTATAAAACCTTCACGAGATGATTTTCGACACGCAATGCATTAGGGGAAACAAACTCGAAAAATAAGCAAACATCAAAAATACAACATTACAAAATCTGTTTATGTTGCGAAACATTGCCAATTCTGCATACTTTTCATGTAAATCTGTAATAGAACCGTACATTTCCCGGTCGGATGTCCGTGTACATTGAACCTTTTGCATTGTTCAACTTTTGTTCTTAATTAAAACTACACACTAATCCAGGCCTCTGCCGATCGGTAAATTTTGAACTACAGAACTGTTCGGTAAAAGTTTGAAAATCTATAAAAAATCCAATAATTAGTAAATGTATTCCGAACTTGTACAGACTTTGTTTAGTTTACCCCATTTAGCTATAAAAAAAATTGTCAATTTTATTGATTTATCACGTTTAACGGTCATTTGAAAATTTTACCGACTTGATCTGCTGTTCAAAACCCGGTAAAACTCTACTGACCTCGGTGATCTGAATTGAGTGTGTACTTGGGCTTTGAGGGACGAGTCCTGAACTTACGGACTTTGTCTAGAGGTCTTATGATTCAACTGTTTTTGACCAAATCGATCTATTTCAGATGCCTCATAGATCAACTTCGGATTCAGATATCAACTTCAAATAAACCCTGAGGCATTGCTTGAAGGTTTACTTCGAGGAATTAAAAAAAAAAAAACAATTATGAAGGCCCAATGGGTTCATAGCAAAGCCTTATGGGTCAGCTACAAATCTCTCATGAATCAACTCCAGAGGCCTTAAGGCCCACGCACATTAGATCCGGATCTGACGCGTTGCGGCAAAGTGACAGCTAAATCTATTGTCTAACTGTCAAATTTACGTCAACGCAACGCAAACGGATCTAATGTGGGTTGGCCTTTAAGGCGATACTTCCAAAGCACAAATGTCAGCTTCCACAAAACATACAAATCTCGCGTCACTTTTCAAATAGACCAATCTCCATTGATCGATTCTCTTCATCGACTCTCTCTCTCTTTCGTTAATAACCCGACTCCAAAAACATGTTCAGCTGTTCTTATCCACCAATACGCTTAACAAAACTTTCTTTTAACAGACTATGTAGAAAAATTAGCCCGAAATATGAATGCAACCAAGTTATTAACGAAAGAAAGAGTCGATTAAGAGAATCGATCAATATATGAAAGGTGACGCGAGAAATATGAAATTGCTACTCCTTTTTTGCTGCGCTACTTCCGTCCGACGGTTCTACTGCAGCTGTCAAAGTTCTAACTGCCAGTAAGAAATTGAGCTGATTACTGAAAAAAAACATAGTGTACATTGACTAACTTGAAGTATTTTTGCTGGCTATTCTAGCTACGGTGGAACATCTTCTTATTGGAATTAATCCGTAAAACGGAAATAAATCTCTTGAAGCACAATATATCTAAGTAGAGTAGAATTCAGGCGTAACAGTATTTGTAAAAAGTTACTTCTCTCGATGATTTCTTAAAAGTCATGGCTATCCCTGGCAAATCAACACGCTGGTAGTGAATTCCTCTACTCTAGGGATGTGTTGTTTTGTGTAGGCGTGCCTTGCATTCCTAGAAATCAACGGTACAAAGCCTGTTACGCCCTAATTCCACCTCTTTCAATATATTGAAAAAATCACTCGAATTGATTCTAATTCTTGGCTCTTAAGGAAAATGTAATGTCTTGTTGAGTTATGATTTAAGTTTTGATGATTGCGAAATTATTATCCTGGTTCGAACCATTACTGAGCTTAGTTCAAACTATTGTTTTCAAAAATACATTTTGCTAAAATTGAGGTTAAGAAATTTGAGCTGATTAAAAGCTGGATAAGCATTTTTTTTTTTTGCAGAAAAAGAAAATGTTTGCCTGAATAAGCTCTTATTCAACATTCGGGAAGGGATAGAAATATCGCTCAAGTCGGTCAGCGTTTATGCGGTGTTTACATCTGTGCTGGTTTGCTAGTGATAGTGTACTAGAACTGTACTAAAAAGCAAGCAGCATAATGTAAACAGGACATCAGCATCTGTCAGCATGAGATTTCAGGAGCAAATGAAATTCGTGCCAGTCCGGCGCCGGTGGTGTAGTGGTAAGCGTGACTGCTTTCTCACCCCAATGGGCCTGGATTCAATCCCAGCCGAGGTCGGTGGGATTTTTCTGAGGCATAAAAATCTCTGGTCACGTCCTTCGGAAGGGAAGTAAAGCCGTTGGTCCCGGGCTATGTGTGTGTTGAATGGGTGGGATATCCTACGCAGGTGTGGAAGCTGCCTTCCTGCACATTCGATTGCCGTTAATGGAATGCAATCGATGTCCGTCGGAGATTGGCACAAGATTGCGGAACAGAGACCGACGTTAAATAAAGAAGACTGGAGCTAGTGAACTAGCATAAGTTTAAACTCCCCATTAACCCCGTGGATGCTCTTCCACGAGTTTCCGGTGTCCGCTTCGAGATTTCAGGATGTCTTCGTAAAAACGTGTTCAGTCATCCTGTCGATGGTATTCCTCTTTTGAAAAGTACGCCTTGAAGGGATGTGAGTTCAGAAGCTGCTTCAAGTATCTCCTTTGTGGTTTTTGGGAAGAATCCAGTCCGAGGCGGATAGTCACAGGTGGACTAGAACTCACGGTCCGCTAGTGTTTACCGTTAATGTTCATGAAAAGATCACTATTTTACTATAAACAGTGTCAAAACAAAAAGGTTTACTGGCGGATTTGGACAGATCCTTTGGTTTGTTTCATACAACCAGAAGGTGTATGCTGGTCACAAATGTCTGCCACATTGATTTCCTACGCAACTGATGTGAATTTCGCGAATAAACACGAGGGGGACTGATTATACTCTGCCTATAATCGCATATCAGTCCCATATGGATTTCCGTCAATTTTGAGATAGCAACGCTATCCACTATCAATTGGCATCTACTTTCATATTATGTGATAAAACTATGGATTTTGATCATGGAAAATATGAAAACAACATCAAGTCAGTTTGTCCCACCAAGCAAAGTAATCGCATATCAGTCCCATCCTGAAATTCAATCGTCCATAGTTCAAGTAAAAGTTCTGCTTTTCGAATTGCCATATTTTTCTCTGTTATAACAGAACATGCAAGCTTCATTGTGACAGATTTTAACTTGAAAATAAAATATAAATAAATTTACTATGATTTTTCAAACATTTACATGAGAATTGCACTTCGTAGCTTCTTCTTCTTCTTCGCATTTCAAGCTTATTGCATATCGCATATTAGCTTATTGCGTGCTCTCAACTTAGTGTTCTCGATGCACTTCCACAGTTATTAATTGAAAGCTCTCGATGCCTGTACCATTTTTGCATTGGTATAATTGTGTGGCAAGTCCAATCATACTTCTATGCCCAGGGAAGTCGAGAAATTTTCCAACCCGAAAAATTCCTAGACCGGACCGGGAATCGAACCCAGCCACCTCCAGCATGGTCTTGCTTTGTAGATGCGCCTTTACCGACTGAGCTAAGGGAGGCCCTTCGTAGCTTCGACTGTCATTTTCTCAATGCCTACTTTTTCCATATGGGATTGATATGCTAGTATAGGTAGTATATCAAAACTTGCCATATATAATCGTCTTTAGTTTATTTTAGTAAACAAACTAACACTTCTTCCTTCTGGGATGGTCATACTTTTTGTGGGCCGCATACACTGACGATGAGTAACTTCTCAGTTCTTCCAGAGCCTTTTGCAGTGTCTCGGGAGAATATTGTATGGGTCTCATTTTGAACACCTTCGGTGAGAAGAGAACATGAGATATTGTGAATAAAAATAAATGTCGACATACCAAGCCAAACAATGCATTAGGTCCCAAGTAACATTGATCGATTCTCTTCATCGACTTTCTCTTTCGTTAATAAGTTAGGCTACAAACCCGTTTCTTGTCGCGTTTGCCATAGAAGAAGTTTGATAATAGCTTCTTTTATCGAATTGGGTGTTGAAAATAGCTGGAAATGTCGATACCTGTCCGTTGGGATGCAAGGAGAAACTCAAATCCATCCGTGTAGTTCTCTATTGTTGCCACATAGTTTGATAAAGAAGGTTCTAATCTAGCGTCCAAAAACGTCAAACACAGCAGGAAAAAAAATTGCTAGGAAAGAGAAAGTCGATGAAAAGAATCTTTCAATGGAAATAGGACATTTTGAAACGTTCATCTAGTTTTTTCCGGCATACCCGCTAAAACAATCAAGTCAAATTGCTACATCCACTATTTATGGATCTAATTCTTTGCTCACGATTGATATTACGACTGATGTAAATGAAATAAGGTGAATTAGTGCCTGCATCTATTTTATTGTGACTGCCTGGTTAATTTGAAGAGTTATCTGATATTATAGTACTGAATTTAGGTACCATGTGGAAAAAGGATAATCCAGATCGAAGCATTTTATACAAAAGTGACACACAAAGAAGAAGTGTTCCCAAGTAACAATTCTGCAATCATTTGGCGTTGGTCTGATTTATGATGGTTTTATAATGGCAATGAATAATCCATTTAGTTTAAATACAGCATTTCACAGTGTAAAACGTTCCTGCTTAATGGTCCACCTTTTCGCTGTTTTAAAAACCTTTTACAGTCTGGCGAGAAGTCAAAATCTGTCTTGTTTTAAAATTAAATTTAAAGTAGTTCTCAATCCCACCACAAACCTGTTTTATAAATCAATCATAAACTTCATTAGCAATTTGTTATTAATGTCTTGATAAAATACTCTATAAACCTGTTCTATCATTATAAAAGCAATCATAAAACCATTAGGTTTTAAATGAGAGCAAACGGCATATATTGTTGCCTTTTAGGCTTTAACAAGTGTATCATAAAATCTCCTCTATTAACAAATTGAATTTTAAGGATGGATCCTCACAGTAAATAAAAACCAAATTTATGACAAGGATATCTCGAAGGATAAACGAAGTTGGAGGAAAAATTCAAGCGATGCTAACGACAGCACGTCCGGCGGAACGGGTACCATCAACGACTGAGCATCTTGGTGGAGAAGAGTGAAGTGAGCGTGGTCCTCAAATTCATAAAACATTGTCAAAACAATCTGAAAACAGACCAGCCTTCTCCAGACCTAGCGAATAGATTAAGATCGGAATAGCTTGTATCAGTACCGACAGCAAACCACTGAAACTGTCAGTTAGCGGACACTAGTTGGTTTCCGATCCATAGCTGCCATTTTAATTCGGCGAAAGGGTCATCACTTGGAGAAAAAATCATTCAACCGTACATTCCTGCATCGTTTGATGGTGCACTTCCAGAACCATCCGGAAGAAGGGGATTTTTCTTCGGGAATGCTCGAGGTTACAGCTGTGCGAAATGCAAAATGTTGTGAACACTTTCTGAGTAACTGCTTCCAAGCCATCGGGATAGAATCGCCTGGAAGAACGCTGAATCGCACAGCGCAACTATCGAAAGATAAACAAACTTCGACGTTTAACATTTTGTAGGCAACATTGCCGCCATAAATGCTGCCATAAATCTGAACGGGTTAGGATCAAGAAAAAAGGCTATAGATAAATACAATTCAGTCTACAAGTTTTCTTCATAAAGCCATTTCAAAACGTTATGAATTTGTTAAGGATTTCTTAAAAGCAAAATAACTTTTTCACAAATGGCCCATGAAAATCAACTTTTATGCCTCCGCCATATTACAGTTATTTGGTTTGTTTTTTACAATCTTCGATTTTCAATCTATATTTCCTTGGATATGCAAACATCATGACAAACAAAAATCTCGGCTAAGCTTAATGATCGATATGAAGAATGTATTTTTTTTTTCTTAATGTAAAATAATTAGTAAAATCGATGTTTTTCGTGGCGGACTCAAGTTTTTCAATGTTTTCACGTGATGTGAAATCAAATTTTATATGGCACATAAAACTAGGCCACTTCATGAGAATTATTTTAAAATTTTGAAATTCGCCATGATTTTTATACGATCAGAATGGCTCGAATAATGGTTTTAATTGTTGCCAAATAGCTTTTATTGTAGCTTAAATACGGTTTTGAAATGGATCTCAATGCGTTTATCGTACAACCATTTTGCAGTAAATCAATCTTGAAGAGCTTAGAAAATATACCCTTCAGAACCTTCTCCAGGGTGGACCAACTAGACAGATTCTAGCATCAATGAGGTTTTGGTGACTGCATCAATGGCAAAGCAGTCATCTTGTATCCAGATAGTCTATCCGATTGTGTCGGTCAAAACAGCATACTCATAAGACCCGAAATCTGCCGGGTAGAGTTCATAAGTTCCTATGAATGTATACCTCAAAGGTTCTTACACTTGTCTTCAAAGTTCTTTAGCGTTTCTTTACAATATCTGAGGACCTCTATGGATTAGCTCCTAATTGCTGAGCGGCACACAAGTTGTCATACCGTATTCTGAAGTTAAAAGAAGTCTCTCGGGCTTTTCCCTGGAAGACCTTCGAATTTCTCCTAGTTGGTGTGTAGTTTCTCTGTAAATATCTCAGCATACCGCTTTTAAGAACTGTAAACTATCCTGCAAGGCTTCAAGATGTAATGTTTAAACTTGTTGTGGAACTACCGTGGGTCTCCGGTAATCTGACCGATTTTCATCTGCACACATTTTAATTTGAACCGTGCTAATCTACACGCTGAAAATGGAACAATGTTAAACGGAACGCAGAATTAAATCAAAACAGCAAATAAGGCTACCAAAAACACGCTTATCTGATGCCTGAGAGGGTTACTAGAAGTTCAAATTAAAAATGAACCCCGTTTATATGAATGAAGTGTCGATCAGATTAGCGGGGGTCTACGGAATATAGGAGAAATCTTCAATTCCTTTACCTTTTTGTCAGTGCTTGGATGCTTTTTTTTAAGGATTATCCACCATATTCCAGAGCATTGTTAGGTCAAAATTGAGCGCTCAAGTCACCTGGTGCAAGTAGGTACAAAAATAGGCATAAAACAAAAAAAATATTCGTACTAAATTATTCAATCATCATGTCTAGTGCCCTTTCTGGTTCTGGATCCACGCCGCAGTTCTTTGAAAATCTTGCCTTTGTCACAATTCCACTTGTTTTACAAGTGTAAAATACACACTTAGAAAAAAAAATATGTAAATTTAGGTGCTCTAAGACTGTCGTAAATCGCGGAGCACTTAATGTTACATGACATTTTTATTTACGTCTCATCCTTTATGTCAAAGATGGATTCCGTCACGTGTAACATTCTTATTTTCTCAGTGAGTACTTGTATCACTTTACCTGAGTTTGCAATGTCATCCAAATGATTATTGATTTCAGTAGAAAAAGAGTAACTGTTGTTGTTTGAATCCTGCACCGCACAACCAAACAAACATTCTAGGCACTAACAATAATGTGCTCTGACTTCCTGATTGAATTCATAATGTAAAACACCGCGGAGAATAGCTAATAGATGTACTTAAGCAATCGTGATCGAAATCAATAATCAACTCACTATATTAAATTCAAACCGCGTCATATTCATGACGCGGTTCGTCGCTTGACGACGCATTGAAATCTAATTGCACACCACACTTGAAAATCCCCCTCGTACTAATCCATTCCAAATCGTCGCTCTCTTCTTCCAGTAACTCAAACAGCTCCATAATGAAATCGTTCATCGTGATCGCGCTCGCCCTAGTCGTGGCCGTTGCCGCCCAAAACAAGTACACCTCCAAGTACGATGGAATCGACATCGACGAGATCCTCAAGTCCGATCGGCTGTTCAGCAGCTACTACAAGTGCCTGCTGGACCAGGGCCGATGCACACCGGATGCCAACGAGCTGAAGCGAATCCTGCCGGAAGCCCTGCAGACGAACTGTGCCAAGTGCAGCGCGAAGCAGCGCGAAGGATCCACCCGTGTCATCAACTATCTGATCGAAAACCGCAGCGAACAGTGGAAGTCTCTGCAGGCCAAGTACGACCCGGAGAACATCTACAGCAACATGTACCGCGACGATGCCCGCGCCCGTGGAATCAAGCTCTAAGAACCGCGACCGGAGCCCCGAACTGACCCTAGAGACGACCAAAGTTCCATAGGCACACATACGTGTTTAGTTGTATGAATATACGAGCAATTCCTGCTCGAACACGTGCGGAAACGAAATTGAAAGCCGTGAATAAATGCAAAACGTTTAAGATTTATAATTGCTACCAACATAGTTCGCTGGTGTTGGCGTGTGTTTATTATTTAGTTGAATACGCCCTGGTTCGTAAGCGTTTCGCATGACTCAGATGCAAATCCAAGCGCGGGTTCTCGTGATAGGTGTCGTGTGATCGTTACGATTAGATTTCAAGTAAGCAACTGTGAATTAAATAACGAACCTTGATTGGTCCATTTATGATAATTTTCATTCATCAATCACGAAAGCGCTATCCATCTTGATTAGCATAAACCGTCTCAATGCTACTACTTAGCGACCGGTGATGTAAAATATCGGCAAACTCACTCAAATGAGCAGTTCCAGTCATATGAGTGAAAAAATAACAAATTTTTAATCGACCTTTTCCGATTTGCATTGAAATTTTTATTGATATTTGAATTGTTATTTTTTATGGGCAATGATTCATATTTTTGCTGAAATTCGGATATTTTGGATCTTGTAAAATTTTCAAAATGGCGTCCTTGTAATTTTTTTATGTAGCATGGAAACGGCTTTTCTGAGCGATACTACGTCTAAGACAAAGTTTTAGAGAAAGATAATGTCTTTCTGGCGAAAAAAAATTAAAAAAAAATTATTTAAAATTCAAATAAAATGTTAAAACCCTAAATATCTCAAAATTCCCTTGCGCAATTTACAAATATTGTTCTGAGTACAAATTACGTAAAAACACGTTTTAAAAACAAGTTCTAAAATTTCCCTAAAGTTTCTAAAATGTCGATTTGTGTCAATTTTTAAGTGTCCATATTTTTTTCAAAACATTTCAAAAGTATGCATTTCTCATGAGCTTTCCTTTAAAAAAAACCGGACAAGAATATTTTGAGATATTAAGGTTTTTAACATTGTTTCGAAATTTTTACTTAAAATTACAAAACACATATTTTTTTCTATATTTTTCCCAGAAAAAAACATTATTTTTCTCTACAACTTTGTCTCACACGTAATTTTGATTACAATTCCCGTTTCTGTGCAACAATTTTTTTTATTATTTTTAAAGGCACCATTTTGAAAATTTTACAAGATCCAAAATCGTCTAATTTTAGCAAAAATGTGAATCATAGCACATAACAAATACAGTAATTACCCGATTTTGCCAGCCCCTTTAAAGAAAACATTTTCTAATGTTCTACGAAACCCATGCGCTTTTTCAGTGGTCTTATTGCATCAAAAAATACTTTAAACATCCATCTTGAAGATGAATGAGAAAGATTTGGAATTACAGTGAAATAAAAACCTAATGCGCGGAGGGGCTGACAAAATCGGGTCATTACTGTAACTATGCAAGGTTGCATGAAAATTGGAGAAGATCGAGCTTTTCCGATTCGTCATTTGGCGTTGAACTTTTTAAATGCTGATCATCTCGGGCTGTTAACACTTATGCTAGTTCACACCAACTCAATTGTTAATGAAATTTCATGTTGGTGGATGCTGACGTCTTGTTTACATTATACTGGCTACTTTTCAGTACAGTTCAAGTAAATCAGCATAGATGTAAACACCACATGCCATATCAACCGACTCAGACTAAAATGCATTACAACCATTTCAAGTGCAAAGGTGGACGGAGCTTCTAACTCTTGTTACACGGGTTCAGCTACTAGTCCAGCAATGGGGAGTGCCTTTATTAATATGAATTACAATTAACGAGTAGCCACTCTGCACGAGCACGTGGTGGAGGAAAACGCTGTTCGACAAGAGAGCTCTCGAAGTGCAAAGTATACAATTTGATGTGTTGTTTGGTTAGTTGCGAAGGTCTCAAAGCACACGCATCATTGTATAGGTATGCACCTCGTTCAAGGGTGCGGAGAAATTGATTTGGAAATGTGAAACGGTTCGATAATTGTTGGAAGTAGAGGTCAATGTTAACACAGAACATGTTCAGCTTACATGCGTTGTAAGCCATGAACTCGAGTATTGTATACAAGCACTTGGCACTTACATGGTGGAAAATTGGTCTCAGAGTTAGATACTTCAGATCTTTAGGTTTAAAGGGTATGTTGGAAAAAATGGCACACACATAAACAGCTGTAACTTTTTTACTATTATACAAAATGACATGAAATTGTCTGTGAAGATTGATTAGTCCATGACGTACACATTAGACTGATGCAAAATTTGAAATTTTTGCTCCACAGTGCTCAAACGGTTTCAAATCAGGTCCTGATTAGCCTCCCAAAATTTAAACTCATTTGGTAAGAAACTGACTTGGCACAAACCATTTGAAGTTTACATGGAAATTACTATGGGAAAACCAAAAATTTTGTTCATTGTCTTCTACCAATTTTCCATATTGCTTTCTCGAACATTTCTATAACTATTCTTACGGGAAATTTTCTAAGCTACAACTTTGCGGAATATAGTTTTTCAGCCAAACATCAAATTAAATTGTTATTAATTGTTTAAGAGATTGATAATCTTATGGCAAGATTAAGCAGCTGTTCTGTGGGCAACACTGTATTCTGCAGTGTGACATAGTAGCCATGATATTTGTGCTCTATTCATCGCACCAGAAGCACCAATGTTGCCTGCTGAACAGTTGAATGAGCATAATCATAAAACATCAGTGACTTGAATCATTAATAACTTTTGTTCCTTACATTTGATTGAAAAGTGGTTTTCAACAAGTTGTAGCTTAGAAAGATTTCTACAATCACTGCTATTATTTTTAAAAGCATAGTGATGTGGTGAATTGTTAGATAGAAATGAACAAAAACATAAGTTTTTCAAAATTGTAATTCCCATATAAACTTGAAATGGTTTGTGCCAAGTCAGTTTCTTACTAAAGTAGTTCAAATTTTGGGAGACTAAGCAGTACCCAAATTAGAACCGTTTAAGCACTGTGGAGCGAAAATTTCAAATGTTGCATCAGTCTAGTACACATATATATTTTATGAAGATCTGAGAGGTGCTTTATCTCGAGTAATAGTCATGAGAACAACATACTTTCTAAAAATGTTGTACAGCCTCAAATTTGAAATCAGCGGTTATGCAAGGAAATGCATTCGTCATTGTTGCTATTGACTTATGGAACCCAACCAACTTTTTGCCAAATATTATACATCAAAATACTGTGCAGTTGGTCTGAAATTACATTTTTACCTAAAAAATCTAAACAAATGAAAAATAAATCCTTTTGTGCCAAACAAAACCAGTATTTTCTATCATCTATATTCCTATAACGTTACCTAGAAAACACTATCTAAAAAACGCGGCGCGACATGTACCAAGCTTAATCATAGAGGAAAATGAGGAGCTGTCAAATTAGCACCAGAGCACCAGAGAAATTTGGCTTCACTCGAGTTGTTCGCAGATGACAGGCGTTGCAGTCCTGTGGTTTATTACGGAGGAAGTTATTCTACTTTTAGTAAAATACTCTAGAATTAGTTTTTGTGAGTGTTCACTGGGCCAGCGTTGCCAGTATTCCAGATTTATCTGGATTTTCCAGATTTTTAGTCGTCTTGCCAGATACACAGACAGACCACGTATTTTTCCAGATTTTTTAAATATGTGCCAGATTTTCCCAGATTTTTTTAAACATGTTGCTTTAAAAAAAGCACTGCATTTGATTTACCCTCTAATAAAAAAATAAAAAAGCCAAACTTGCTACTTTAGTTATTAAAGGCCATCAACGTTGGACATTATTGGAATTTTAAGGTAATTCTGAAAATAGTTCACAGTTAAGTGTGAGGCGAATTCTTTGTGAAATGAAAGGAGAATTTCAAGCTACTTCTGATTCTGAGTAGAATTACATCCATCTTTGTGGGTTCGATTCCCAGTCGGGGCAAATTATGGCAACCTGAAAATTTCCCTACTGTTCTAATGGGTGTGGTGTGTTGTCCGTTGTCTAGTGTTAAATATTTAGTCTGTGCAACCTCTGGTTGAAGACGGTGTCAATTGTCTTGTCAACTCTGATGATAATTGCATGGAGATTTTGTCAATAAAGAAAATACAATCCGGAAGAGAAATCATAGAAAATTCTTATGATGAAACTTAAGGAGTATGCTGATACGAATCGTGAGAATAATTTCATTGGAATTCTGTCCAATGTTTCTATGGAGATTAATTTTAATAAAATTTTAAGCGCAATTTCTGGGAGACTTTCAAAACCATTTTGGCAAAGTACTTGAGTACTTAGGTAATACTGAAAATGATTTCAAACCAATTCTAACCTTACCTACAAAGCAGTTTAAAGGGAATTATCGGATAAGTCTGAGAAGAGTGTGACGGTCATTCTGAATAGTGTACCAAGGACTTTGTAAAGAATATTTTAAGAATTTCATAGAGAAAAATGGACATAAAATTGAGCCAATTCTTGGGAATTATTACCAATTTGAGGGAGTTGTGGAATTGGAGAATGATTTATAAGAGATTACAAGAGGTAATGCTAAGAACTCTTAGAATGTTACTGGAAAAGTTGCGATATTTTCAAGATTATTTAAGAGGAATATAGAAAAGAAATACACTGGGTTCGCTTTTTACGCGGTTTTTTTTTTATGCGGTTTTTTTTTACACGGTTTTTTTACGCGGTTAGTGCCGCTGAGTCGCAATTTACGCGGTACGTTTTTAACAATTTCTCGACAACGATACGACCTATCGAGTTGATTCCAATCACATTATCCGTTTCAAACTATAGGTAATCGAATGGCATACTTTAAAAAAAAATCACAATTGTTGGTGTAAATACAGAAATTTTTAAAATATGTCTATTGGACCATAGCATGCTATAATAACGAATGGCATCAAAATCCGATTTATAAAAAAATATTTAAGCATGTGAAAAATCAAAATCTCGGAAGTTTTTTTTTACGCGGTTTTTTTTACGCGGCACGTATCCCCCGCGTAAAAAGCGACTCCAGTGTATGATGGAATTCTAGGATGATTTAAATTGAACTAAAAAAAAGGTGAAGATATCCTGTGAAGAGTTCCAAGTAAATTCAGACGTACTAAAAATTCATGATCTGGGACGCAGGAAAAATATAAATTCCGGAATTTAGAATCATTACAAGATCCTGAGACTTCAAAAATGAAGCTATCAGATTTTCATTATTCTTTGGCATAATGGTCATGCGAATAGTGGAGTTACCCGTAGTTTAGGTAAACTGTGTGTGAGTAACACGATGTTGGGCTTTGATTCCCACTTCAGCCCGGTGAATTTTGCTTCAAAATAAAATTGCCTACTGGTCTGTTGGGTGTTGTGTGTTGTATGATGTCAAGAATTAAACTGGAAATCTGATCAACCTTTGAGTAAAATTAGAGTTATTTAGAACTAATAAAATCTTTAAATTCTGGTACTGCATCAAATAGTAAGGACTACATCGACTTTTAGTTCAAAAAATCCATCCCATCAAATTTCCTTGATTCTTTGCTTTTCATTCTTTTTAAAAAAGTTACAGTTTACAAAAAAACAGTTCTAACCATATTTTCTGCTGTTTTTAACCCACATTTAACTCAATTTTTGAAATTCTGCGTAAAATATATTTGAACTTTTTCAACTTTTGGATGATTTTAGCAATGCTTACAAGTTATTTGCTTTATATAATTTATTTAAACATGTAATTTATAACCATTCTAGTACTTTAAATAAATTCCAGAATCAGTATGATAGACCTATTTTTACGGGAGATTGGCACATCACTTTGATTTCAATAGCATTATGTTAAAAAGAATTTTTTTTTTGAGCATTCCAGATTTTTCCAGATTTTATATTTTACCTGGTCCAGATTTTTCTGAAAATGACCTGGCAACGCTGCACTGGGCTGTCGACAGAAGCAGACCACTCTCAATGTGTGTCTCGCGATCGTCTGTTTACTCGGCATCACCATTGTGTGGTCCTCCTCATTGTTCTTTATCAGCAGTTCTTTCAGTCGATGAATGTGTGAGTGCTGACCACGTTTTGCGTCCATTGCTACAATGGTAGCACTCTGAAACTCGTTGGCAAATCTGCCATATAAGTAAACCACTGGAAGCGGCTCCCGTTCTGGTAGAGGAGGCTTATTGGATAGCAGAAGATAAAATGTTTATTGTGCTGTACCTTTTGACTATAGTTTTAAGTTGTATTGTATAGTGAACAAGAATCCTCGGCTCAGTAAAGCTAATTCGGTTGAGCCTTATCAAATAAATTAATAATAATAATAATTAGTTTTTGTAACACCATAGAGGTAACTCTAAGACCAGAAGGACCCGAAGAAAAGTGCTCAACGTTTTGGCTCAGCTCTGGTACTCTTGGTCCCAAGCAAATAGATGCACCCCTCGAAACATAGGAAAATCCACAAACCCCTCATTTTAACTGTCATGCACTTTCATAGCGAATCAAAACCTAAGAGAAGAGGAGACAATACGGGGGAGAAGAGTAAGATAGAGAGAGATAGATATAGATAGAGATAGAGATAGAGATAAAAGGGTAAGAAGCCGGTTGTCTCCTCTTTCTCTTAGATCAAAACAAACATAGTGTAGTACTTGATTTTTTCATTTAATACCAATGAAAGAAGTAAGAAGAAAGAAATGAATGACAACCACCGACAAACCGCGACATGAAACTTAAACTTAACTCTTGATCGATAATCCATAACGGCCGATTCACATGTGCAGCGATCCCATCTGTCAAAACCATAGAAATGTTTTATTTAGATAAAAATAATTTGTCCGAAATAGATTCGACACGAACCAACTCATAAATTTTGTACGCGTGTTCGTGGTTAGGATAAATATTTTCCGCGTATACGGTGGCAGATGCCAGTTTTGTGCTTTGATTAGAAATTTTCCTTGTCAATCTTAAAAAATTATCGAACCTCTTAACGGAATCCCTTTATGAAGAGCTTTGAGTGTGTTGGTTTATTTCCTTATAATTTCTTATCTTTTGACAGATACGCGTATTTCGTTTACTACTTGCAGACTTCATCAGTGCCAAGTACTCAACACCAAGTACTGGTTTTGAGTACTTGGTACTGATGAAGTCTGCAAGTAGTAGACGAAATACGCGTATCTGTCAAAAGATAAGCAATTTCAACGGAATTAAAAAGAAATAAACCAACACACTCAAAGCTCTTCAATTTCTTTGTAATTTGTATGATCATTCATGTCGATTTGTCGGTGTGACAACCCTGAAGGGGTCTACTCTGTACACGAAACGAAATTTAGTTATTTTATTCATGTGTTTCACTTATACATTTTTGCCAAAATACATAAGACAAACCAAATAGGTCCTACAAGAATACATAAACGGTATGTATGACCTGTGTTGCAACACCGCAGAGGTGAATCTGGCAACACTGCATAACGGTACTGCAGATTGAGTGCTACCGTTAAATGTTGACAAATAGAAATGGAGATAAGTAAACAAGATGATAGTATGTAGTAGTAGTGATAGTAGTAGTAGCAACAATCAATACGAAACTAACGATTTAAATTGGCTCACTACTTGACTAGCCTATTGGTCCCAAGCAAACGATTAACGTACCCCATTCTAGTTGAAATTCTAGTACTACACAATGTTTGTTTTGATTCGCTATGAAAGTTTGACAGATAAATGAGGGGTTAGTGGATTTTCCTATGTTTCGAGGGGTGAATCGATTAGCTTGGGACCGAAGAGAGTACCAGAGCTGAGCCAAAAAGTTGAGCACGTTATTTCGGGACCTTCTAGTCTTAGAATTACCTCTATGGTAGTAGTATAGATAATAGTGAGTGGTAAACATAATTCGCCATCGCAAATTAGAATATAAACAATTCAGTTCCGCGGTTAAAGTTTATAAATCGAAATCTTTATATAAATAGTGCTAGATTGGTCGCAGGAGGTACAAAAAACGTTCCTAAATTATCACTAAATCCTGTAAGTAAACAAAAAGAATGAACTTTAGTTAAGTTAGTTAATGAAATTGAATGTAAATTTTTACCCTCGTTGACTTACCTGTAGCGCCGGTCGATCGTGGTGGATACCTGTAATATTCACCCAAAAAGTATCTGCCATTCTCGTTAGATTTAGATTGTAAGTAAAATAAAGTATGATACACAAATTCTTAGTAACTAGAATGTTTTTGATAGCACCTGCAAATAGGTCGAGCATATAGCCCAACAACGTTAGGGTAGTTGAACCGAAGTTCGGATCAAGCGCAAATTATAAGTTTCGTAGCGTTAGTGATGAGTGATCATTAATTAAAATTAATTAATTTAATAGGATTAACAGAGAGAGTGTAGGAGGAAGGAAAGGAAGCTTTATACAGTTGGAATGGAAACCACTTTATTGTAAGTAACATCTAATATTAATCCAAATTGTAAGCTAATGATAATAAATGTTTACAGTTTGAGCGTTGCTGAAAACTACACGAAAGGAAAATCAATTATTTTATTCATGCGTTTCACTTATACATTTTTGCCAAAACATCAGCCTTATGGTTCAATTTACTTTGATGCTTTTTCGAAAAATACAAGAGCAGTTTTTTTCGACGCATTAGTTCAGATTGCAAAATGCTCGCACTATTCGATTCCTTTTGCTATTCGACACAAAATGACGCGAGCTTTTAGCAATCTGAAATAATGCGTCGAAAAAACTGCTTTTGAATTTTTCGAAAATGCATCAAAGTAAATTGAACCTTATACATTCCACAAGACAAACCACATAGGTCCTATAAGAATGCATAAAAGGTATGTGTAACCGCTTATACATTTCATTTGACACATGATCTTCATTAACTTTTTGCAAGGCGTCTGCTTATTAGTTGACTTATACATTTTATGAATAATCAGCAATAGAAATTTGCCAAAAGGTATAAGGATATTTCTATCCGTGTAGTCAACTGCTGTTGAAAATTTGGTTTCCCTACGGGAACAACCTGGGTACTGTGAACTCACTCATTGTGCTTGTCAACTGGGAGCCAGCGTGAACTGTCAAACGAGAGTCATTCAGCATTCAGAAGCCACAAAAGTAGTTACTCTTCTTATGCAACTCTTAACAAACTGCGCAGCAAGACGATGCAACGTAAAAGCGCACTTGATCTCGAACTAAGCGACATACTGATGAAAAACACAAACATGGGTGTACCAACAATCAATACGAAACTAACGATTTTAAATTGGCTCACCACTTTAGTAGCCTATTGGTCCCAAGCAAACGATTAACGTACCCTATTCTAGTTGAAATTCTATTACTACACTATGTTTGTTTTGATTCGCTATGAAAGTTTGACAGATAACATCAGGGGTGTGTGGATTCATGCAGAACATGCAGGGGTGAGTGAAATAGCTTGGGACTGCTTGGGACCGTTGTTCTGGTACTGAGTGAGCCAAAAATAATAATGATTTTCTTCGGGACCCAGTGGTCTTAGAGTTACCTCTATGTTTGTACTATTCTTTCACTCCACCGAAAATGCCCATAAGAAACTGTCTATATTTGCTGGAAGAGCAAATTTTTCGACGGTGCCGTCAACGCCAATAAAATTACATGAAAAATAGGAACCGTTTTGTTGTTGAATTTCTAGCAGAATCTCTGGTAGCCCTATAGATTCGATCCACTCATTTTTCGAGAAACGAACACTCCAAAAGTCACTCATCCCGGAACGGTACAACTCAAGTCTCGAACACATCTTCCAGATCACCTTGTGGCACTCACATCAAAGTGCGCAAAATGTCAAACTGACATCCATCCAGAAAAGTGCAGCAAGCAGCAGTAAGTGAGTGCAGAGAAAGAAAGTTACTTTTTAGATTTTAGATTCGCGTTTTTTTGCTGAATTCAAGCCTTGTAAAACGATTTTAAAACGTCGAAATTGTCCTAAGCTGACAATTCACGCCACGGCCTAACCGCTGGCGTGGTGAACGATTGCTAAGCTTGATCGGAGAAGGTGATTTTTGGCTGATTGAAAAGTGCATCGATTGAAGGCTAGTTTAGTTGCCAGAATGACGAGCATGGAGCACGAAGCGATCAAGCTCGCTGGCCCGACGACCCCGCAAGACCTGGATCTGGAGGAGGGTGAGGTGAGTCTCGTCTGTTCGTTGCATCAATAGGTGAAAAAAAAAGCGCGATGGGTGTAGCGAGGAAAGGAAGACTCGTGTAATTTCTTGTTTTATTAGGGTGAATTAGGATCATCGGCTTGTGGGGAGATAATTTACCTACTGTGAAATTGCAGTGATTTTTTTTTTTAATCTTTTCCACGTAAGAGCCCATCGCGCTCTCGTTTGGTGTCAATGACCGTATCACCCGAAATTGCGTTGTTTGTTCGTGCTTACAGGTGACAGACGACAGTGAGGATGGATATATCCCATTACAGCGACCGGAAGTGGCCAAGACGTTTGCAGGCGGTGCGAGCGTGAGCCAACCGCGGACTACTCCACTGGATACGCTGTCGGATCAGGATGACCTGAACGATGAATCGGACGCTAGTTCCGATGATAGCGATGACGAGGGTGCTAGCTTTGGCAAACGGATGAGGGGAAACAACGATAAAAAGATAAGGATAAAGCCTCCGCTGGAGAAGATTCCCCAGCCTCAGACGAGTCATTCGTTGCCGAATAAGTATAACATTTGGACGGAGAGTCTACAGGAGGACACGCTGATGGAAACCATGCGCGGGTGCGATGTAACGTTGAACGGAATGAGGAATCGGGACGTGGAGTCATACGATTACAATTTGAAGTACAGGATGAACGGAGGCAATGCCTTTCGGAAAGTGTTGAAACGGCGGCAGTCGAATTCGGACGATTCCGACGGATACGGAGGCGGTAAGCGGTTTCGATCAATGTCTTTCGGGGGTACCGGCGGTAGAGAAAGGAAGAGCGTGAAGCTGAGACTCGGCAAGCGAAACAGTAGCGACAGTAACAGCAACGATAGCTTCCAGAATGCGCCAAGGTAAGGGATGGAATACGTAGTCATGCTTTTTTGTCTTAACTGCACTGAGTGGGTATTATGGTGGTGGTTGCTTGCCGCTTTGCACTAAGTTAGGATCGACAATGATCGGGAAATTTACGTGTTAGATTTGCTTTCAGGCACATCCTAGATCTGAACGTGACGGAAGATTGCGAAAATCAAGCTTTTGCTGCAGAATTAGCCAACAAACTGTGCGAGGAAAAGGACGAACTGATGCGTAGGTTCGGTGCAACTGTTTGGGTGGTTCAGAAAACTAATTGGTTTAATGTATTCCAGTACGAGTTGTGACGATTCTCGGAAAGGAGATTCCAGCGAAGCTGTTCAAAGAAACGCAGAAAATAGAAGCCGATGGAGGAATGCTTATCATGGTAAGTGATTTGTGGAGCATTAATTTCTTATATTATTATATTGAACGATCATTTTTATTCTAGAACGGAGCCCGCCGTCGAACGCCGGGAGGTGTTTTTTTGTTTCTACTCAAGCACAACGAGGAAATCGACAAAGACGCCAAACAGGCTATTTTCCAGGATGATAAGAAAGCCGTCGTCAAGGAACGCAAGCACTCCCAGGCCGTCAACCGCGAGAAGAAGGTCGAAGAGCTTAAGAAGACCCTGACTCGGCAGGTGGCGGACAACGAACTGCCTACCCGGAGCGACCTATTGCTGTCACATCTCAAACCGGAAACCCATAGCACATGTAAGATGATGATAGTACTTTCAAAATATGATCATCAACGTTTTTTCGAACAATTGCAGTATCGAATCCACCGCCTTCCCCAGTGGGAGATGAAAACCGAGAAGGAAGTCCAGATTTTGAACCGCAAAATGTTCACGTAAACGTAACCAGTCCAGAGAAGGGTAAGTTTGACCAATAGCCGTTAGATTCTGGATTAGCTAGCTAACTAAATTTTGTGGTACAGCTCTTGTCGACCAGAAGGACCTTATCGAGCCAGAACCGGAACCGGAAAGCTCCCGGCCGAACCTGAACCCGGAGCCACAGTTGCAGAGCTATGAGGATGACTATCTCGACATGACGTGCGACGATATGGATTTGTTCTAGCGCTCCCCACCATCACTACCGCACGAGAAGGAAGATCGATGCTGGAACGTTGCAACCTTAGAGTAGTAGTAGTATGATGAACATAATGTGCTGAGAGTACGGAGCAGAACGATAATCCGGAGCAACATTGAATTTTCTCTGTACAGTGAATGATTTAGGCGAGTAATGAGTTAAGTTGGAATTGAGCGGATGGTTGAAATTGAACGGGACGAAAACGAGTCACGTCAGTGAGTGTGCGATATGATGGGCAGCCAAGTACCCGCCCCCCACAATACGTGTAGAGTTAAGGCAAACCATATTTAATGCAGTGGACACAACGTGTAGTTTGCAGGAAATATATTTAATTTTCTAAAGTCATATTTGTATTTCTGATTTGTGGGGAATTTTCGGAACCCGTGGTAGCGTTGATCAGTCTTCGATACCGGAACTACCTGAAGGCGTAAATACACCGTTCAAATGGGTTGTACTCGGCGTTCCATTGGCTTAACATCGAATGCAGTAAATCCGACATCGACCAGCTTACTAGACGTTCATTTCGCACTTTAAGTGAGTTGAGTGCTAATTTAAACCCCAAAACCAGGCTGAACAGCAATACAAGAGACGACGAACCAAGACTGAAAGTGTCTTAAATAGTTAAATACACTGAACCAGCAGTAATATTTTCGACACCAGGGACTGAACAACGATCAAATAGGCGCTAAATAAATCTTTTCTAAATGACTGTAGCTAGCAGAGGTGCTGGAAGTGGAGGACATGTTCTACAGATTCTATAACATTTGTCCGAATTCCGTTCCCCCGAATGAATAATTTCTCAATAACCTTGAGTCCGTCTAACAACAATTTTCTGCACAGGATTACTTTCTAGGTAGTTCCGATGAACTCCAGATTCTAGGAAACCGAAGGAGAATTCCATGACGATTCTGAGTAGAATTCAAAAGGAGTCATTAATAGAATTTAAACGAAATTTTAATGAAAACTAGAATGTCTGAGGTTAATTTCTAAGAAATCCTGAGAATTTTTTTAGAAAGTTCTTATGACAATTTCATGAAATTACTGAGGATAATTAAACAGCAATTCAAATGACAGTTCCTAGGGAATTCGGGGGAGAATTTCAAGAATTTTTTTGAGAATATAGAAAAGGAATTCATAGCATAACTCCATTTGATTTTTGATAGAATATTAAAGGTATATGAGCAAGGATAATAATTGTGAGAAAAATTCCAGGAGTACTTCATACGCATGCGGAGGAAATCTTCATAAGAGTTGTGATTAGTAGTACAAACTGATTTCAGGAAAAATTTAAATAGTTTGTGAGAACAGGGTACAAGGTATTTGTGAAAAGAATTACAAGGGAAGATGATCTAAATGAAATTCAATAAAAGTAGAGGATTGCTGAGGACAGTTTCAATGGAACTACACAGGAAAGGTAAACTATGTTGGTAGTGACAAGTTGACAAATGGACAACATCAACATGACTCCGATTGCAGTTGTTCAGTTTTTCAGTTCAGGTTCAGTTTTGACCGATATGGGTGGATTCTACTCAAATTTGGGTAGTTTTTAAATAGCGTGTAGCGCAATTTGAACAGGAAGCAGGAATGACTGTCGCTTTGACGAAGTCCTCTGATGGCGGTAAGCTCCAACTCGGATTAACTTTTAATACCGTCCCTGTTTGTATGATCTGAAAAATGTTTGCTCAGAATTATGTTGATTAACTCTGATGTCGACATCAAACCAGCCGGACATTCTTGATCGGGATTTAATCCGAGGATAATACCGGTTGGAGCTTACCACCATGAGTGTTTCAAACGAGTCCGATAACGCACCCGATATCTTCATACAGCACTGTATATATCTCGCGTCACTTTTCAAATAGACCAATGTGACATATCTACCATTTTAAGAAAATCGAAGTTGAAGTTCAACAGATTATTATTTTTACTGTTTAGAAACAATACATTGTGCAATACTATGTTTAATGTAGTCAGGTAATAATAACGTTGAAAATTCAGTAGAAACGGAAAAATCGCAATTTTACTTTGAATGTCATGCTACAATATAGAAAAAAACCACACATGACGTTTTGACAAGTCAAGTTGTACATCGGACATTTGTTATTTTATTTACATCAACAGGCTGGATGAAGCCCCAATGATTTAAACCTTATCAACTATGGTAAAAAAAAATACATTCAAGCATGGTCATAACATAAAAAAACATTAAAAAACGTATATCTTATAGTCAATATCTTAACTCCTGCCGGCGAAAAACAGAAGAAAACTTTCGACGAAGCGCATCACGGGAGAGATGAAAGTCGAAAACAGATGCAACTCTGTTGAATGTTCTCTGCAGTCCGCAAATCGCACCGTACGCTCCATAATTTGTGCGACGTAGAGGCAGTCTTAGCATAAGGTTATTACGAAGCGGTCGGGGTTGAACATTCAGGTCAATTTGCCTCAGGATAGCCTCACAATCTGTCCTTCCTTGTAGGATATCGGCCACGGTAGGGGCTCTGTTTGCGTCTCTTCTAGTCCGGAGAAGTTCTAGGTCGATAAGTTGACAACGGCTTTCGTAGCTTGGTAATCGAAACGGATCGTTCCAAGGCAATCTACGCAACGCAAAACGAAGAAAGCGACGTTGAACAGATTCAATTCTCTCGGCACCGTTGTTGTAGTTTGGGTTCCAAACCGCTGAACAATACTCAAGCGTCGATCGAACAAGCGAACAATAGAGAGATTTTAGACAGTAGATATCAGTGAAGTTTTTAGCTATCCTAGACATTGTTACATTGGACGATTTTCCTCAATGACATAATCAATGAGTGTTACATTGGACGTTTTGCCTACGTGATGATACTAGATTCCCTTTCACAGATTTGATGTCAGGGTAGAATACCTAAATTTAGATTGGCCCCGCCTTTAGAAAATGAGCACCAATCACGTTAGGCAGCAGTAGCATGTAGTCATCATTTCAAACTGTACATTTGACAATTTTAATTATCTTAAATAAATGAAAGTACATTTGGATGGGTGTTTTTGTATCACATACATAGATAGAAGAGCAATAGTTTGCATCACTTAACTCGATTTGTTTACATTTGTTACTTAGGACTTTTTGAAAAGTGACGCGAGATATACCCCCTATCGTAGCCTTGACCAGTGGTTCTGCTCCATAATCTTTCATAGCTCTTCACGGTCAATAGTAGCAGCTTATAAATCGATGAACAAGTGGTTCGTAAGGGCTTGGAAGATCTACTTACCCTTACCACTCAGGCTAAGGCCTTGTTGTCCTCTGCTGTCCGAAGAAGTCCTCTCCGCTCTACTAGATCCATGGCCACACTTCGCCAGCCTCGTAGTCTGCGCAGATCGCTTCCTACTTGGTCGATCCACCTTGCTCGCTGCGCGCGACTTCTTCTTGTTTCTGTTGCGTCGCTTACGAAAACCACTTTTACTGGGTGGTCGTGCGGCATTCTTACGACGTTCCCAGCCCACCGTAGTTGACCATTTTTGCAATGTGGACGATGGATGGTTCTCCCAGCAGCTGGTGCAATTCGTGGTTCATTCGCCTCCTCCACGTTCCGTCATCCATCTGCACTCCACCGTAGATGGTATGCAACACCTTCGGTTCCTCCACGAACATAGTCCAGGTCTCGTGGCCGTAGAGGACCACCGGTCTAATCAGCGATTATTCGTATATTTGGGCTTGAAGAATCAACCACAACGTAAAGATTTGGGTTGTCGATCGCTCGATCCCAAAACCTGCTCAATAACATCCCACAAATCTGCTTTGTACGCTGCGTTGAGAATAGTGATCGCTCGTTTAGTACTTCTCGTCCCGTCGAAGTCGAACGCCGCGACCCAATATTGAGCAACTACGGGACGCCGGAGTTGCCCAGGATTACGCGCAGCAGCTGGGAGCTGCACTACCCAAGGAAGAGCAGCTTGGCGCAGTTACTCTTGAAGATGGCTGAAGGGACATCCGTTCCGCCAGAGACAACGGCACTAGGTACTGCGATCTCGGACCGAAGAAATGACTGGTTTGACATCGAATGCAAACTGTTAGTAGAGGAGAAGAATGCAGCACGGGCGAGAATGCTGCAACACCGCACGAGATTGAATGTGGAGCGATACAACAAGCGCGGAACAGACAAAACTCGGTTTTTCGAAGGAAGAAGCGCCAGCAGGAAGACTGAGATCGCGAGGCGATAGGAAATCCGTACCGCGTAAACGACTCACGGAAGCTTTACGAGAAGCTAAATAGTTCGCTCAAAGGCTACGTGCCGCAAGCCGATATGTGCAAGGACTTGGACAGTGACCTTCTCACGAACGAGTATGAGTTGATTGAGAGGTTTAATCAATACTATGACGAGCACCTCAACGGTGATGCAGCAGAAAACAAAGGTGGCACAGCAACAGACCTGGGAGCACGCGCAGAAAACAACAGGCTACCGGCCCCTGATCTCCAAGAAGTTGAGGAGGAGATCGTTCGGCTGAAAAACAAAAAAGCAACTGGTGTAGACGAGGAGTGGATGGAAGGCGTCGTATGCCTAATCTACAAAAAAGGACGACAAATTGCCCAACTAACAATTTAAGCTGCAGACTAGCTTATACAGCCGAAAATTGCCTTATGCAGCTAATTTTTGTCTGTATAAGCTGATTTGCAGCTAAAATTGTTTGTTGGGTGGATTGCTGCAACTACCACGCTATCACACTGCTGAGCACCGCCTACAAGGTACTTTCCCAAATTATATGCCGCCGCCAGCGTTGCCAGATTGTTTTAAAGCTTATCGATATCAAAGGTATTAAAAAATCGGTATTTATCGGTATTTAATTAATTTAATTAATTTTTATATTTTTGCTGTTTTTGAAAGCGAAAACTTTAACGAGTTGAGGCAGGACTTGAGGGGAATTGCTTTGTTTAACGATTTTCTCAGTCTTAAAACAATTTTTATTTTTTTTTTAATTTATTTTTTTTTAAATTATCGTTGTCCTCAAGTGGTGATTAAAATTATGACCAAGTAGTTTTTTTCAATTAAATATCATTAAATGAAACCAAAATATGGAAAATCAGCCACAACAACGACTAAACTTTTAACAATGTCGACAAACAATATATTTTCCCTTGAAAAAGGCCACAACCGAAGGCCGAAATGTCGGGCAGATTACATCGTAGTCGTTGCAGTGTTTTAAGACTGAGAAACCCGTAAATCAAAGAAAACTCCGGAAAATGTTTGAAAAAACATCCAGAGAAAGACGAAAGAAGCTCTCCTGGATGAAGTTAGAGGAAAGTTTTAAGAAAAGTTGGAAAAACATCCGGGAAACTTCCAAGGCACGAACTGAGAAACTTGTGG